TCTTCCAAGTAATGATAAATTAGGTCAGTATAGAATGTTCTACAATGTTGTGTTCACTGTACCAAAAAACCTGTTTTAAATATAAATCAATGAGTTGAAATTGAGAGAGGCCCAGGCTTGTAAGTGTTAATAGGGGGAAATGTAGGTTTCCGACACCATATTTTGATCTTGAAGGCAAAGGGACAGTACAGGGGGTGGGCGCATACTTGGCCCTTGCAGTGGCACTGACTGGCCGGTTGCAGTCCCTAGTGCCTCTTGCACAAACGGTGAGGCATCTGTTTTCTGTGACATGATTTAATGACAAATTCTGCTCTGCTTGGTAGCTGTCAAGATCAAGAAAAACAAGGATAATGTGAAGTTTAAAGTTCGATGCAGCAGGTACCTTTACACCTTGGTCATCACAGACAAGGAGAAGGCAGAGAAGCTGAAGCAGTCCCTGCCCCCAGGTGAGTTAGGCCGCCCACAGTGTGGGGGGTCCTGGTTTGCCCTTGTGTGGTTTGGGTGTCTGCGCTTGCTGCTGGTAGTGCGGGGAGGAGTCGCGATCTGCAGTTAGACCCAGTGCTGGAGTGGAGTCCTTGGGTAAAGGAAGTGCACGGCTCGATCCTCACAGCCCTCCACACTGGCTGCTGTACTGACCCCCACTTTGCAGGGAGAACAATCAGTTAAATCTAATGGACCAAGTTTTGAGTGGAATGTTTTTATCAAATACTAGCTTGATTTTAATCCAAACCTTCTTTATGAGCCCTAGGTGGAGTACAAAATCAGGACGGCAATAACACAAAAATGACTTGCTTTGGTTTGTCTTTCCCTCTAGGTTTGGCAGTGAAGGAACTGAAATGAATCAGACAGGCCGATTTGAACTGCATTAAAGTGTTTAAAAAGCCTTATGTGTCCTTTGTCTTTGAAGCTGGGGAAGAGGTGCTGCTGGGTGGTGCCATCTGCTGGGGATGGGTGATGGATCCTGCTTGCCACCTCCTTGTCTCCCAAGTCTAGGGCTGGGATCTCAGTAGACAAATAAGGCCAGACTTCTGTTTGGCCTGTTTGAGACATAGTAGAGGTAGGTAGGCTCTGCCTCGCGGGTAGGGCACCTGCCTAGCGTGTGCAAGGACCTGGGTCCCATCCCAAGCACCACAAGACAGGGCTATCGGGAAGCCCCCATGGGAAGAGGAAGAAGAGCTGGGCATCTGTGTGAGTCACCGTCTGCGTTTGGGACTTAGAGTGGGTTAGGTAGAATGGGTTTCCTTCTGACTAAAGTGAAAGGGAGGTGTTGCTGAGCACAAAGGTAGCCTAAGATTTTTTTCAGCGTGACTTACGTGACCGAGTGGGATTAAAAGTGAGATGATTGCAGAAAACAAAGGACAGTTGAGATAGGGGCTCAGAATTATGCTAGCCTAGCATGAGGCGGCAGGACTTGGAGTGGAGACAAATCTCCAGCCCAGGTGACATTTCAGAGGAAGGAGTGGTTCTTGCAGAGGTCTGAGCTGGGCCCTCCAGCCTTGGAGAGAAGCCAGGACAGTGATGGGCTTTCACTGGTCTAGAAGGAGGTGAATCTGACCTGCGAGGGCCAGCCAGGCTCGTTCCTTGGCTATTAGAACTTTGTCCTGCCACTTCTGACTGTTTCCTGAAATGAAAGTAACCACATTGATACCTTTCCTTGTCACTGGCTTACTCAGTGAAATGGGCTAATGTGTGCAAGTTTTTGAACTTCCAACACTTTATACTAGGAACATTGGGTCATGTTGAGGTGGGCCACAAGGTGGCACCATACCACCACAAATGAACAGTAGCTGGTAGATCCTTCCTGAGATTATTTTCCATCTCTTTAAAAAGTGTATTTGGTATTGCACTTTTAAGTGCTTAAGCAGGTTGTGACACCAACCACCAATCTTTTTGTAAGAATTCTTGGGTCTCATGAATTCATTGAAAGGCGTGAGTTTTGTTTACTCCAGGAGAGGGTGGCACAGGGAGCCCTGGGTTGTTGACAGACCCAGAGGTGGCTCTGTCAGCAGCTTTCGGTCTTTCCCATTCTTTAAACATTTAGGATTCCCAAGGGGGAGTGAGTTACCACTTAGGCTTTCTTTGTCCCCAGCACATTATCCAGAGATTTGTCCCCGCTCCTAGGAGACGAACCCTGCAGGGATTTGTCTGGCCGCCTGGTCCAGAGAAGGCATGCTTTCATGCGGCACTTCCTACCCTGGCTTGTGCTATGGGGTGCTTCACCCAAGTGACCAGGGTTAACACCAGTCAGGGTTGCCACTGCTTTGTGAGGCTGCGGCTAACTCGGCTGTAGAAAGCACCTGGAGGCTGCTGGTTCAGGTGGGATGGGGGAGCTATTCCTTCTGGAACCTTGGGAGGTCTATTCTTGTTGGGCATCTGCTTCCTGGCCTCCCCTCTAGGTCAGTGGGCCTTGGGGGAAGCAGCTGGAAGGCTCGCTGTCTTACTGGCTGAAGATCAATCTGGGCGTTGGTATTCCAAGCACCACTCAGCTGTGGCCATCTCCCAGGGAGATCCTGCAGCTCACCTACCCAGTGCCCTACACCCTACCCGTCCTCTACCAGCTTCCTCTTGACCCGGGCCCTACTCTGGGGCTCCCCTGCACCAGGTCCAGAGTCAGATCTTCAGGTGAACACCAGGACCTGAGTGGAATATAGATGCCTCCTGTTTGTCATCCCATGATTTGCCCTCCTTCCCTAAGGCACTACAGTGATCACAGCTGGGACTTTATTTTTTCCAAGAAGAAGGACATCTTTTGACATTCAGGGTGCTGAGCAGCTTTAGCCGTGGGTGCCATTGGACTGGAGAAGGAGGACAGGTGGGAAGGTATACCAGGCACCCAGCAGTGCCTCTCCCAGGTTGCAGGGGACATGGGCTGTGGCTGCGTAAATCATGTCCACATTCAGGGAGTGCCCACGGAGGGCGTGAGCTATAAAATGCCCCTGGTAACTTGCTTCGTGTCCATCTTTCTCAGCAACCAGCCGTGGCTGCGGGGCTGTGTGTGACATGGCCCTTGCTGCCAGCTTCTTTTCCTTTTGTCTTATATTAAATATAAGTACTTATTTTCTGGTGGGGTTTTTATTTTGTTTTTTAATTTTCAGGCATAATTTATACACAATGAGATTCACCCTTTGAGTCTAGTTCCATGAATTTTGATAAACCTTTATGGTTGTGTGATCACTACTCAATCACCCTGGAAGTCCCCAGGCCCTGGCAAGCAGCCACAGGTGTGATCAGAGCCCTGTCCCTGCAGTCCCCAGCATCCACTGTGGGTTTCACTTGCCTGATGTTCCCTCTTAAGCCCCACCTATCCTGGTCCCTGACCTCAGGGTCCCATTCTTGCCACTCAGAAGCCTCCCCAAGGACACCCCAGTTAACTCATACACCAACTCCTCCCACTCTGGCTCTGCAAGAAACCTCCCAGCAGCAACTCCGTCCTGCCTCCTCATCCCAACACCGGGCTCTTCAAACCCGCCTCGCCGCCCTCTCTAGACTAAACACCATGTAGACCGGATGTGTGTGTTTTATTAATCACTAGAACCCCTAGAACAAGGAAGGTGTCCTACAAAATGTGCAGCACTCATGAAAGAAACCCCTAGGAGAGAACAAAGTGTTCCCCAGCCTCCTGCTCCCCTCTGGCCTCAGCTGTGGGCATGTGTAGGCAAGATGGCAGCCGCCAGGCTCCAGCTGGCCCAGAGGAGAGGCCCCAGGGGCAGGGCAGGACAGGGCTTGCTCTTTTGGCCCCAGGATCTTTGATAGAACAGGCAGTGGCTGTACGCTGGCCCCACTAGCAGTCATGCAGGCCCCAAGATGGAAACCTGGGAGTCCCTCGTGTTCCCTTGAGTCCCCTTTCTCACCCATGCGCTAACCACCCTCAGGCTGGCTGCCCAGAGCTCCCTCCCACCAAGCCCCAGCCCAGCACAACCCTTTTCACCACCCACGACCTCTACAAGCCCTTCCCTGCCCCTCACCTGCCTCCAGCCCGAGCTCAACCATATTCTCTGTCTACTGGAGGAAACCTGAATCCCCGCTGGATCTAGAAGACCCCTAGGTGGAGGAGGGGCGGTAAGGCCTCCCTCACTCCACTGCCCCCAGACTTGCTCACAAGCCGTTTGTACTCGCAGGCTGGGTGCTCTTTAAGTGTGCAAAGGCGTGAGGACCAAGGGCCCACAGGGCTTTGCTGAGGATGGCTGCCCCACCCTGTTCCAGTTTTCCCCCAAGCACCTTTTAAGACACATGTCTTCCTGTGCATACAGTGGTCCACACAGAAGGACACACGGCAATGGCTTCCGGCTGCTTTGCTCACTGATGGAGCCATGCCTGGCACCTGGTAAGTCTAAGTGCTGCCGAATGCGCTTCATCCCTCCCTGGGCTCCCATGGCCCCTTCCCTTCCCTCTGGACAGCCCAACGTTACCCTGCTCTGGAAGCCGGCCTGACCCTCCTGCTAGGAGGAATCAAAACTTCTCAGTCCACCAGACACCTCTACCTCACTCAGGGCCTGCTGCTCGGGCAGGCTGTGCGGAGCTGGAGGGCAGGGACCGACCGAGTCATTTCTCCAAGTGGACATGGTTTACACTACAGATGGGCCAATATATGATTGAGAGTGAATTTAAAACGAGTGACCCAGGGTTGGGTCCTTTTGCCCCCAATAGCAGTTTACCCACCCGGATAAGCCCTTGGAACCGCGAGCCAGCTCTCGGGCTGTGACTTCGAGCTGCACTGCACAGCTCACACTGTTCAGTCACTAGTAAGAGACGCGGAGACCGAGACTGAAACGCACTTCTTCCACCTCTTGCACCGTCGGGGCAAGACGATGCCAGCCCAGAGGGCACAGCAGGCTTTTGGGCTCCCCAGGATTGAGCCGAGATTGGGTTCAGGCCGGGGCGGGGTCTGGGCGGGTCCGGGGCGGGGCCTAGGCCGCGGCGGGGCGGGGTCGACGCGCGTCCCGGGCCGGGTGGCGGAGGCAGAGGCGGCTGCTGCGCGCCGGCTGCACTCGGGCCGAGCCATGCCGGCGGCGCGCGTGGAGTACATCGCGCCCTGGTGGGTCGTGTGGCTGCACAGCGTCCCGCGCTTCGGTCTGCGCCTGCAGCCGGTGGACAGCACCTTCAGCCCGCGCGATGAGAGTTACCAGGAGGTGAGCGCGCGCCAGACCTGAGCCACCGCGGACCCCCGGAGCCGGCCCGCGCGCGCTCAAGTCCCCGCACCACCCTGCTCCTCTCCGCAGCCCGCGCTCTCCACCGCCTCCCAGACCCCTTCCTCCGCCGCAGCCCCTTCCTTCTCCCATCGCTCCCCTTCTCCTCCAGGACCCTTGGCCCTGCGGCCTCCTCTGGCTGGGACCCTCGGGGTTCAGGGAAAGCGGCGAGATCGGAGTTAAGCCGGAGCGGGAAGGGGAGGACCGGCGCGGAGACTGCCTGCGGGAGGCGGGCGCTGGGCGCCGAGGGGCCGGGCAGCTCGGGTGGGGGCTGGGGCGTTCGAGACCGGGCAGCTCTGGCTCTGGAGGGGCGGGGATGTCGCGCGGCGCCCCGAAGTTCCCCTTGTGAGGTTCCAAGACCGGATGCTGCCTTCCCCAGGATAGCCTGGGGGAAGTTTGGGCAGAAACTGAGTTGAGGCTCCGGAGTCCGCAGCGCGCCTCCTCCCCACCCTGCCTGCCGGGTGGGAGCCGCTGCCGGGACCTCTCTCTGGGCCCCTTCTGCAAGGCTGCAGGGCTGGGGGAGGCGGCGTGGTGACCTCCCTCTCGCGCGCCGGAGCCCACGGCCGCTTGTGTTTGTTTCAGGGAGGAAGGTCGTCCCGGATCAGCCCCACCGCGCACCATCGTCCCCTGGTGTTGACAGCCAACCCCCTCCCTTTGTCCTCGCCTGCGCTGCCCCATCCCTGGCTCGTCCCCCACCCGCATGCCTTCCAGGCTCTGAAATTCTGGGGTCTCCTGCTCCTGGCCCGCCACTCCCCTGTCCTGGCACTTGTGCCTTTGCCTGCTCTGCCCACCCTTCCCTCTGCCCTTTCTGCACCCCACAGACAGAGCCCGGGCTGCCGGACCCTTGTCCAAACGGAAGTGCAGCCCCCGGCTCCGTCTCAGGTGTGCTCAAGTCCAGCCCGGCCCTGTGGCCCTGCTGACTCAGTTCCTTGGTTGGGTAGAGATGCCGGGGCGGGGCAGTGAGTGGGGAAGAGGCGTTAGTCCAGGGCTCTGGCAGGTGGGAGGACTTTGACCCCTCGGCCTCGCCTGGGGTGTCATGGGTGGTTCCCCAACCCCTCCCCCCACGCTGTGGGGGGCCTTTCTGGAGGCTGTCCCCTGAGGCCCCTGTCTGCTCCTCCCCTTCCAGGGCTGCCTCCTTAGGGCCCAGGGGATCCTGAAGCCTAAGAAGGACAGTGACCACGAGTCTAATAATAACCCCTAGTGGCCTCGCTGCCTTTGGGCCCAGGCAGTTGGTGCCAGTCCTTCTGGAGGAGGGGAGAATCCACCTTCCTGCCATGGAGGACGCAGGAGGCAGTTCAGGGGGCGTGCCTGCCCCTGCCTCTCCCTGCGCCCTGCCAGGGCAAGGGCCTGGAGCGCTGCCGGGACTAGCTCGGGGCTCCCCGACTCCCACCAGGGCGTCAGGAAGCCGATATGATTTCAGGAACAGCTGTGTTGTTAGGGGGGCGCCCCAGATCCTGTTCCCGGGTCCCCATCATGTTTTTCTGTCCATTGGAGGAAATCTAAGCCCCCAGCTGGATCAAGAAGACCCCTGGGTGGAGGAGGGGTGGTGAGGCCCCCCTCTGGCCGCTCCCGGACAGCAGCACCTGTCTTGCCAGCAGCTGGGCCGAGGGGCCTGTGCCTGCCCCACCCGCCCTCGGTCCCATGGACTGTGGGTAGCTGAGCTGGAGGGACCATTTATGGTCCCTGCCCCTCTCTACGCCCAGCGTCCTGCCCCAGACACCCTTTGTGCTGGGCTCCAGAGGGCACCCCTTCCGTGGCCACTGCTCCTCCTATTTTGTAAGTCCCCCTGTTTTCTGACCACTGGTCTTTCCTTTTCTCCTGAGCACCAGAGGCAGCCGGTCAGTTCACAGCATGAATTGGGCGGCTTCTGCGGTAGGTCATCTCAGTCCTCAAGGCCACCTGCTCTGCCAAGCCTGGGTGACTGTGATAACCAAGGCAGCCAGAGTGACTCTGGACAGTTGCTGAGGGCTCTCTGGGGCGGGCCTTTACAGCGGCAGCAGCCCAAGTAGTTTGGCCCTCCCTCTGGGGGTGTTGGACTCCACTTCTCTCACTGTGTGACCCTGGGCAGGTTTCCTACCCTCTCTGAGACTTGCCTCCCTCATCTACAAGTGCTCATGGAAAGTAATGATCACGTAATAGGATGGACGGTCCCTGGCACCTAACAGGACCCAGAGGTAGACGTCACCAGATGATGGGCCTCGGGGTTGCAGCTGTCCAGCCACAGCACCTACAGGAGAGAGAGACCCTGCACTCCTGGAAGCAAAACGCACACAGGGCTTTAGCTCATGCCGCAGGTGTCCAAGCCTGAGGGTCCCTGTGGCTGCATTAAGAACTGGGTGAAGGTGGGCGTGGGCAGTGTGGGTCTCCAGGGAGGCTCCCAGGCCGAGGAGCCTTAGAAGAGCAGGTCCCCTGGAAGATCCTGAGCAAGCTCGGTGCACCAGGCTCTGAGGAAGGAGGGGCTCCCGTTCGGTTTTCGGGGAGTGGCAGGAACCCCCAGTTCCCCAGGTGGCTGCCCCTCCCCCCTCGCCTGGGTGAACTTGAATCTGGGTCTTGGGGAAGGGAAGGCCGCTTGGGCTGCGCCCACCATGGGGAGGTTGCCCAGCAACGGTGGGGAGTGCCCTCCTCGCCCTGGGGCAGCCCAGACAGAACCTCTGACAGGTGAGAAGGTCTGACAGGTGAGAAGGTCTGACAGGTGAGAAGGTCTGACTGGAGACGTCCCCTGGAGGAGCCAGTGGGAGCCCCAGAGTCAGCACGTGTCCACAACCCTGCTCGGGAAGGAGGAGACCCCCTGGCCCAGTGCCCCTCGGGCAGTGTTGGGGACGACAGGAAGGGCACCCGGCCCTAACCCCAGCTGAGTCTCAATGAGTGAGCCACGTCAGTGTCCCGGTCACCATCCACCCGCGCCCCGCTGGGGGACAGAACTCAGGCTGGTGTCCCCGCCCCACGTCCAGTGCAGGGCAGGCAGAGGCGCCCTGGTCTCCACCTTCTCCCCACTGAGTCCCAAGTGCCAGTCCAGGTCCCTAGGCCTGAGGAGGGTCAGGGTGGGGCTGTCTGGAGAGCTCCAGGAGCCAGCCCAGGCGTCTGAGGAGGGAGGGCGGCCACTGCCCGGCGGAGCAGCTGAGGTGGGAATGAGGAAGGCCATTCGCCCTGAGCACTGAGTCACCGTCATCAGACAGTCACGCACATGAGCCCCGAGGGGTGGCCTTCCCGTGGGCCTGGGGCTCCCTCTGGGTGCTGCTGACTCCCCTGGCCTCCCCCCCAGGAGGGTCACCTCCCCAGCGGTTGCCCCTCCCCCACCCAGGCCAAAGCCCCTGGGGGTCCAGCTGCAGTGTCATGCCACCCAGCTTGGGCCCTGCCCTGTGCCCCCCACTCTGGTTTTCTGACAAACCAGAAATAATTGAAGTGCCTTTGATGTGCGAGAGGCCTGAGCGCTACGTGGAGGCCGTGGGCCTGGCGCTGGGGGGCACGGGGGAGGCACGGGTGGTGTGGGGACTGTCCTCCTTAGCCCTGTCCCCCAGAGCAGGAGGGCCTGGGCCAGCCACAGGGCTCTTCCACCCCCTCCCCTGCCCCTCCCCCCCACCCCCTGCCCTTGGGGACAGGAGTGTTAATTAGGAGCAGGGAAATAATTGCCTATTAGAGCAGCAGGTGACACCAACTCCCTGCCACCTCCTCCCTCCTCTTGCCCTTCCACCTATTGCTCCCTCCCTGCCTGTGCCCCGCCCACTGACCCCCAGCTTCCTGCTCCAGGTCTCGGCCTCCAGCACCCTGGGGGGCTGCGGGTGCACCGCCTACAGGAGCCCTGAGAGCGGTCCCAGGCTTCACGCCCTTCCCTGGCTGGACGCGTTGTCAGGACCCTAATTGAGGCCAGCTGCTGGCTGGAGAGGCCCAGGCTGCAGCCCCGGGGGCTGCCGGAGGTCTGGGCTCCCAGGGGCTCAGGCCAGGGAGGCGCGGGGGCTCTGTGGGTGGGTTTGGAGGAATTGAAGCAGCACCAACCCATACGTCATCTCCACGGCTTCATGGAGGGGGTGCTTCCTTGCACGGTGGGGACACGTGGTCAGCTCAGCAGTGGGACTGTTCAGGAGGCAGCAGGCAGTGGGGCGCATTAGCTGGCTGCATGGGAGGCCTGCCTGGGGGCTGGTGAACTTTTTTTTGTTTTTAAATTATTAGGAATAATTAGGAAGCCAAGCATGGTGCACACGCCTGTAATCCCAGCAGCTTGGGAGGCTGAGGCAGAAGGATCACAAGTTCAAGGCCAGCCTCAGCAACTTAGTGAGGTCCGAAGCAACTGAGCAAGACCCTGTCTCCAAAGAAAAGATAAAAAGGGCTGGAGATGTGGCTCAGTGGCTCGGCACCCCTGGGTTCAATCTCTGGTGCCAAGAAAAGCAAATAAAAAGAAATAACTTACAGGAATATGAACAATTAAATGTGCAGCTCAGTGGATTTATTGGTTTTGTGAAATACCATCCTGGTCAAAGTGTGCTCTTGACCCTCCTACAGTCGCTACTGTTCACACCTCTGCTGCTGCCAGTGAGCATCTCTGACCTTGTACTTATATAAACTGAACATACAGCCTGTGCTGGTTGGTTGCCCTCCCATACATTCCTCTGTGGCATCCATCCACCTTGTGTGTAGCTCCTGTTTCCTTTTCATGGCTGCGTACTAGTCCATCTCGTGGCTGTAGCACATGGGCCCTATCTTATTGGTAGACATCGAGGTGGTTTCTCTGTATTAAGCTTCTGTGAACTTTGGTGTGTGGATCTTGTGGGAGCATGAGCCCTCCCTTCTGTGAAGTAGAATTGCCTTGGCCTGGGGCTCCAGGGCCTTCCACGAGGGGGTGGACTGGACACTGGAAAACAGGTGACTACCCACTGTCTGAGAGGAACCTCCTGGGGTCACTGCTGGGGACAGTTGTGCTAATGAGTGCCCCCCCCCACTTTCTCACCCGAGGGTCGTGGGATGGGGGTGGGGTCGGATGTGCTGCAGCCACTGGTCCTGGCCTCCCAGCTGCCCCCAGGAGGGAAGCCAGAGAGTCCCCGGTGCTCCCCTTGTCCCTGGGGAACTGAGTCCTGCAGGGCGGAGCAGCTGGACAGGCCCAGGGAAGGGCCAGGGGCTACTGCAGGGGCCCCTACTGCTGTGCTCTGCCCAACCTGGAAATGGCCACAGGCCTCGGGCTGCAGCCGCTAGAGCCACTCTGGGCGTCAGGACCCAGCCTGTGTGTGCCCCGGAGCCCGGCTTGGCCCCCAGACCCCCAGCTCCTGCGGTCTCCCCTGCTGATGGCCACCACCACACCCGGGAGCCCTGGCTCAGGCTCTCCCTGACGGGCACGCTGGACCCCAGGGAATCTGGACGGGGACAGTGCCCGGGGGCACCTGGGAAGCGGGAGAGGCTGTCAGCTCAGGAGTGGACTTAGAGCCAGGTCCAGCGCTGGATGGCGGCCACCAATCCTGGGGCCATCTGGTGTCCATCTGGCTGAATCAAGAGATTGGAGGACGTGGCGGGGGGCTCCCGGGCATCCTGACAGACAGGCTCCCTCTGCAGGACCCTGAGGCGCTAGGTGACCTGGGAAGGGACCCTGACCGCTCTTGCTGCTTCTGCTGGCCCCTGGATCAGCTGTCCCCTGTGGGGCTCAGTGAAAGGGGCACCACAGGGCGGGGAGGGTGTCCTGTCCCCACGCCCAGCACCGAGCCGTCTCCTCGTGGCTCTGGATGGGCAGCACCTGGAATGGGCGCACTGGGCTCTGCGTGGAGCGTGGCCGGCACAATGGGCCCTTTGCAGGCAGCAGATGTGCCAGCGTCCCTTCCAGGCCCCGCCTCAGGTCCCACTTGGTCCCCAAGGCATCCTGCCCAAGCTGTCCCCTCCCGGAGGCCTGTGGGAGTTTTGGTCCGCAGGACACCCTGCCCTGGTCTGCCTCCCGTGGCAGCCGGCTCGCGGCCCACACCAGGCACCTGGGCTGCGCTCCCTCGCAGGCCCACTGAGACCCCCAGCTCCTTCTCCCTGGCCTCCACGTGGGCCTAGTGCCGGGCTCTCTGCCTACAGAGGAGGGGCTCCAAGCGGAGAGCAGGGTGGGGGACAGACGCACAGCTGCACCCCTGCTCCCCTCTGGGCATTCAGGGCGAGGGCCAGGGCACAGCTGACCCTTCCCTCCCCTTCCAGTCGCTGCTGTTCCTGGGGCTGCTGGCCGCCATCTGCCTGGGCCTGAACCTCGCCTTCCTGGCGGCCTACCTGGTGTGCGCCTGCTGCTGCCGGCCGGACCCCGTGGTGCAGACCAAGCAGCGCAGCTCCTGCTGCGTCACCTGGACAGCAGTGGTGGCCGGCCTCGTGTGCTGGTGAGTGTCCCCTTGCCCCGCCGGGGTGCGCCGCTCCGTCTGCCTGGGCCCCGGCCACCTGGGCTTTACCCACAGCTGACTCGAGGCCGGGGCACCCCCTTCCTCCCCCACCTGCAAGCCTGAGTGACCCTCAGCTGTCCGGCCACCTTCCCCTGACCAAGCTCCTGCTACCTGAGGAAGCTTGTCCCTAAATGAACACCGTCCCTTTTCTGGCCAAGCATTGGGCATTGGATGCCCAGGGTGGCGATGGGGCCCCAGTTCTCCTGCCCCAGTGCAGGGCTGGCCTGGCGGCCACGCAGACTGCCCCCTGAGTCGGCCAGGTGGCACTCCCAGAGGGGGGCCTCTGCTCTCTGCACCCCGTCCCCTCCCACCTGCCGGTGGCTCTGAGGTCAGGAGAGTCTGGCTCCAGCCCCAGGATCGATAGCTTTTAGTGCCTTGGGCCCTGGGGGAGGGGGAGCGCTCTGGGCCACCGGGCAGCGTCCACACACTGGCGTTCCGGGAGGAGTGGGTTCTTCTTGTTTTTGTATCTATAGTGGCTTTTCCAAAAGCCTAGTGTTCCCCAGCCCCAGGTGCTCATGGGGGGTGGGGACCCTCTGGGATGGGGTCCCTCATGCCTCCACGGCAGGGCTGGCGCCTGGGAGCAGGGACACCTGGGTTCCAACGTCCAGGTTGAGTTGGAACACGTTCTTATCCCAGAGCCCAAAGAGGTAGCCCCGGGGCAGGAGCATGTGGAAAGGACCCGGCAGCTGGGGCTTAAGTATCAGTGTTTTTTTTTGTCTTTTGTACTGGGAGTTTAACCCAGGGGCACTTTGCCTCTGAGACACCCCCAAGCCTTCTTATTTTTTATCTGGAGACGGGGTCTGGTTAAGTTGTTTAGGGCCTCGCTAAGTTGCTGAGGCTGGCCTTGAACTTGTGATCCTCCTGCCCCAGCCTCCCAAGTTGCCGGGATGACAGGTGTGCACCGCGGTTCCCAGCTTAAATGAAACTTGAAGTGTCCCAGCCCAGGTTGGGAGTTCGAAGACTTGGTATCACCCTCCCCCGACCCCAGCCAAGAGGGAGAGCTCCTGAGAGGTGACTGGAATGTCAGATCCTCCTGCTGAGAGCGGGCAGGGGTGGCCAGGGAGCTGGGACCCCGGGGGCAGGACACCAGCAGTGCTCTCTACACAGGATCCTTGTTCCCAGGAACTCAGACTTAAATAAGTAAATAAATAAACAAACCTGTCCTGCAGAGCACAGGCACCCCCAGAGTTCTGACGGGGCATGTCTGTAAACCCGTTGTAACATGGAAGACCATCGTCACTGAAGACGCATGGCACACACCTGCCCTGCCCACAGCCTGGCCCCCCCCCCAGCCCACCTGGACCAGGCTCGGACACGCGCATTCGCCCCTCGAGGGCAGAGTCCCCGGATACAAAGCCTGTTTCACAGTCAGCGCTGCCGAGCTGTCGAACACCGCACTGGAGGTGACCAAGGGGCCGTGTGGGTAGGCCTTCGGGTCAGCAGGTGGAAGGTCTGCAGTAGGGGACCGTGTACTTTAGAACAGTCCAGGTGGCTCCGGGGATGGCCACGTCCCATAAGCAGTAATTGCCTGTGGTTGAAGGAAAACCCAAAGCAGAAGGCGAGTCTGTGGCGGGATTCGTTCACAGCCGTCTTCACATTCGTCCCAGGCAGGAGGGGACCTGGGACACAAAAACCAGGCACAGATCTGCCTTCTGATCCTGTGGCTCTGGGTCTCTTTAGGGGAGACAGAGGCATGCACTTGTCTGATGTGAATCATGACAACTAGAGAGAGCCCTCTGAAGGAAAGGAGCTGGGTGGCCTCCGCAGTTAGGTGGCCCCGGGTAACGTGGGCACTGAGGCAGGATGAGGAGGCACTAACCAGGCAAGGGTGGGGCAGGAGGAGCAGATACTTCCAAGCAGAAGGGAGTGGGACACGTGCAAAGGCCCTGTGGCCGGGGCGCAGAGGGCTGAGAGTGGCCGGTGTGGCTGGAGCAGAGAGCCGGTGAGGCCTGAGGGTGCCGCTGAGGGGTGAGCAGGAAGCAGCCATGGAGGGGGGGGGCGCAGTGTGGTGATGGGACAAGACCCCAGGCCAGACAGGACCCGAGCCACGCAGCAGCTTGCAGGCTGCGTTAGGGATTTGTGTCTTTTATTTTTAGAAGAGTGGGGTTCACAGAGACATAGGGTGACCCCATCAGCCGGGTTTAAGCAGCAGCCAGACCCCCTGGAGCATTTAGAACAGAGGGGCTCGAGTGTGAAGAAGTGTGGGTGCAGGCAGTAGTGGGCAGTGTGGCCGATGGGCCGCCTGGGGCACGGGGAGAGGGGACGGTCCTTTGGTGGTGGGTGGGAGGTGAGCTGGAAGGAGCTGCTGGCGGTGGCCCGGGCTCTGGCGCAAGCACCTGGTCCCAGAGGAGGGAGGGGCTCGCTGCCCAGGAACCTGTGAAGCGTCCAGGGGGCAGGGTGGGGGCACAGTGTAGGAGGGAGACTCGAGGGTCACCAGGGAGGCCCATGCTGTGGCCTGGCACATGGGGACAAGGAGCCTGGCAGAGATTGGAGAGGACCGGGGCCAGGCCTGGAGAAGGAGGACGCTCTGGGGACGGCCTGGGGGCAGAGAGCAGCTGGCCAAGGGGACAGGAAGGCGTGGCCAGGCAGGGAGAAGGCCACGGGCAGAGGCCGCTGGCCACGTGTATCTGGAGGGGCTGGGGTTGGAAGGTGCCCTTGGGTCGTGGCGTGGGGGTCATCAGTCACCTTCGCTGGAGGGAGCGGCCAGCTGGGGAGGGGCGCCGAGGGAGCAGGAGTGTCAGGGGACACACCCAACTCAGCCCCCCGGGACCCAGGGAGAGGGGTGGACCCAGGGAGAGGGGTACTGTCCCTAGAGGAGCACGTGCCAGGGTCCTGGAAGGCGCAGGGAGGGGCGTGGCACCCCCGGGGAGGCAGGGCCGGCAAACCCTTTATTCTGTCTCTTCCGTCCAGCAGATGGCTTCCCACAGCCCAGGCAGGACCTGCGACACCAGGAGGGACCCAGAGACCCTCCTTAGGGCAGGCTGGGGAGGCGAGGTGGGGGTCAGGGAGGATGGTTTGAGGCCCACCTGGGTGAGCCGGCTTCCATCCCCAGGAGCCCCAAACGCCAGGGCTCCCCTGTCCACAAGGCAGCTCCCAGCCAGGCCTGGGCCACCCGTGACAAAGCCACAGACTAGGAGAAGGGCAGACCGCCGGGTGCCGCCATGCCCAAACAGGAGCCGGGACGAGCATCGGCTCCGGGTCCTCAGAAAACACCAGGCTGTGGCTGAGACTGGAGGAGAGCACCGTCCCCAGAGAAGGAGCGGTTCTTCAGCACCTTGCTCACTTTGGGGCTGGGGTGGAGGCCGCCTTAGAGAGCCCAAACCCCCAGCCCACAAAACCAAGAGCAAGTCACCAGTGGAAGACGGTCGCAGGGCCACGCATTTAACGTCTGCATAGTTCAGTTCCTTGACACTGAGGTTACATGGTGGGATTTACACTGTGGACCACGGACTGTGTGTGTGTGAGAGACGGAGGGAGAGAGATCCCGACAGAGGGAGAGAGGGAGGGGGAGAGGAGAGGTGAAACGCGCAGGACCCTCCTCCTAAAACGTGGGGTCCCTAGGCCAACAGATCAGTGGGGGCTGCTTGTCCGCACCTTGAAAGCCTTCCAGGTGGGTCCGTACCCGTGCCCATGGCCACATCCTGAAAAGCCGTGAACCAGGGGTGAGGGTGCCCTGGAAGGAGGTCCCCCAGGGGGTTCCCTCCTGGGTAGGCCTGTGGGCCTTTGGCCTCTCCCCACAAATGAGTGTTCTGGCTGGACGCGGGAAGCCGCTGGTCAGTCTCAGTACAACCCCGGGAGGCGGGGACCAGATCGAACGTGATCGATGCAGAGTCAGATCTGAAATGGTGTGCTCAGGCCGGAACCCTGGGCCAACACCAGCCAGATGAGATTTCACAGAGGGATTCAGGTTCTGCTTTTGGTTAAGACTCAATAAAAATCCACACAGCACTTTGGAGGGAGGAGGGACGGGGCCTAACGGCAGCTCTGCCAAGAGACGCAGGCTCTGCGCAAGACCTCAGGGTCAGTGGGGGAGGGAGCCCAGAGCATTAGCCCCCGAGCCAGGACCCCAGGGGCGGGAACCAAGGAAACCAGGTTCACAAGCTGGAACTGATCTGCAGGGACGTCAGAGGACAGGGTCGAGGATGCGAGGGCGCCCTGATTCCTGAAGGTGTCGGGAGGGCCGGGGCTCAGCCCTGGGCATGTGCTCTCCCGGGACCACAAGGCCAGCTGTGCAGAGTCCCCTGGGGAGGTGTGAAGGTGCGGGTGCCCACGCCCAGCCCAGCCCCGCTGCAGTAGAGTCCCCAGCTGGCCCCTGGTCTCCCACCTCCCAGGGTCAAACAGAATGTGCTATGGAGCCAGCTGAGTCCTGCTCTGTGGCTTGAGGGGACCCTTAACCTTCACCCCCAGACATCGTCCTACACTCCAGCCCCCAGGAAAGAGCTCCTCACCCCGGGGTCGTCAATTCCGTGGTCCTCAGTTCCGTGCCCAGCCCAGACGCCCCGCAGTAGCTGAGCAGATAGGGGTGGGATTGGTCTGGGTGGTGGAATATTACTCAGCTCGGGTCGCAGAGGACACGGAGGAGCCTCCCAGGGCCCTTACTGAGGGCGAGAAGCCGATCTGCAAAGGCTGGGTACCATGGGATTCCCACTGTGTGATACTCTGGAAAAGGCTCAGCCGTGAAGACGGCAAGGAGATAGGGGAGGGGACAGCGGATTGAACAGCAGGGCTCAGGGGCGTTAGGGCCCTGGAACTCGCCTGCAGGACACAGTGACGGTCGCGTCTGGTAGATACGCGTCGCTGACTTTTGTCCAAACCTGCAGAACTGGCAAGACCCCGAGTTAGTCCCCTTCCCTGTGGGCTCTGGTGGCCCTGCTGCACCCGCTGCTCCGCAGCCGTAGGAATGCGCAGGTTGGTTTCCGATGTCTGTGTCCGAGGCGGCCACACAGAGGGACAGGACTGTGGCACGCTGCTTGCCGTTCCGCTTGGCCATGAACCTAAAAGTGCTCTAAAACTCGTGTTGGTTTGGTTTGGTTTGGTTTAAGGTGGATCCAGACGTCCCCTCTGGTGTCACCTCTAACCTTCCGTCTGGGTGTCACCACTAACCTTGGGTCTCGTTGGCAGTGCTGCGGTGGGCGCTGGATTCTATGGGAACAGCGAGACCCACGACGGGGCGCACCAGCTCATCTACTCCTTGGAAAACGCCAACCACACCTTCTCTGGGATCGACGAACTGGTAAGGCCCGCGGGCAGTGGTCCCCGCACGGACACCGATGGGTCAGTGTGACCAGGACAGGCGTGCTGGGCAGCCCGCTGCACACGGTAGGCCTGGGCAAGGCCCCAGGGCAGGCCTCACCTCTGGGCCTTGACTGCGGCGAATGGGCAACTGTTTCCCAGACCAGGGGGACTTCGAGGCGGCTGGGGGTCAGATCCCATTCATTTTCAGGAGCTGGACACTTTCCCATTTGCTGGTCACCTTTCCCCCTTGGACTTGGAAAGTCAGCCCCCTGCGTTTTTAATGTTCTCTTTAAGGGCTGCACACAGTGTCCTGTGGGGTCCAGGAGATGTCAAGGGGGAAAACCTAGACACAAAGAAGGGCCTGTAATCCCAGTGGCTCAGGAGGCTGAGGCAGGAGGATTGCGGGTTCAAAGCCAGCCTCAACAACTCAGTGAGGCCCTAGGCAACCTGTCAAGACCCTGTCTCAAAATAAAAAATTAAAAGGGCTGGGGATGTGGTTCAGTGGTTGAATGCCCCTGGGTTCAATCCCTGGTATCAAAAAAAAAAAAAAAAGAAGGGCTGGGGTATAGTTCAGGGGCAGAGCACCTCTCTGCAGGTGTGAGGCCCAGGGTTCCATCCCCAGTACCCCAGGGAGGGAGCCAGGGAGATTCCACCTAAAACCCTGTAGCACGTCCTCAGGGATCTGGCTTCCCCTGTGACCCCGGCCAGGGGCTCCCGGTCTGAAGGACTTGGCTGGGCTGGCCAGAGAAGCTGGACTTTTGGGGGAAGGGAAGGGCTTCTCTGCTGAGCCCCAGACACTGAGGGCGAGGGATCGCGGTCCTCCACTTCCACCTTGACCCCGTGTGCCTGTCCCTTTCCCTGTGCGTGCCGGGTCTTCTCTGCTGGTTTTCGGCCCGTCCTGGGGCAGCCCCCGGTGCTGGCCAAGAACCAGGCGCTGGTAGGAAGGCAGAGGGAAGCCTTCAGGGAAACCAGTCCGCGGGCATCTGCCCGTTCCTGATCCTGTCTGGATCAGGTCCCCAGCAAAGGGGTGACAGCCACAAAGTGCCCATCCGTGTCAAGCAGCCTCAACCACAAAGCCCAGCGCTGACTGGAGAATCGGTGGCTGCCCAGCATCCGGGGAAGAGGGCTGACCTCGTTAGCCCTCCGCCTGCTCCCTAAGCTCCTCTAAGGCTGTAATCCCAACCATCCCGGGGCCAGCTCACCTTAAAGAGACAGCAGCCACTAGTCATGCTCATGACAGGCGGGGGGCAGCCTCTGGCCTCCAGGAGGACCCTTCCCAGGCTCCTCGTCCTCCCCTGGTGTTCCCTGGACTGGTTTCTGGGAGACAGCTGATACCCTTGTGTCTGGGTGCTGGGCTGCGGCTGGGGTGGAGGAGCTGAGGGTCAGCTGCTTGGGACGGCGTGCCGCCTGGTCAGCACCGAGAGGCCTGGTGGGAAGGAGGTCTCATGGTGGCTGCCCACTGGCCAGCTTCCCTTCCTTGGCATCCTGCTCTGTCCCCTTCCCCACCCCTCAGCGCCACCCTCTTCCCTGGAAGAGGAACCCAGCCCAGAAATGAGAGCCCTGGCCCAGGAAAGCCCCGTGGCCTTGACCTTCAACGGCTGAACCTCCCTGAGAGGAAGAGGGAGTCCTCCAGGAGGGAAGGGGATGCTCGGGGGTATCTGGGCGTGACCCGGGGCCTGAGTCCTGCGTGGCCAGGTCTGGGCCTTGGCTGCAGGTCCCATTCTCAAATCCCCTGGGCCCTCAAGTCAAGTCCTGCCTCTTGCCCTCCCCCACCGTTCCTGAAGACTGGGGACACGTGCCTGGGCCTCGAGATGGTCCAGCCAGCCGGGCGCTGCTTCTGACTGGCTTCCCCTGCTCCTCTGGGGGGTCCCAGACCACCCGGGGCCTGGGGGAGGCCGAAGATCTTGGAACCCAGGAATCAGATAAAAGTGATGTCAGGTGATTAAAGTTGGCGAGAGTGTTTGGTAAACCAGGAAGTGCCCTCCAACAGGATCGCTAAGATAAGGAGGGTCATTGTAATAATGGCCGTCATCACCCTGGAGTAGAAAGGGGGTGGGGGAGGCTGTGGGTGGCAGCGTCAGGGTGGGGAGCTGGTGGGCAGGTTGGGCAACTTGGGCCTGGGCCTTGCTGGAGCCCAACTCAGGCCATCAGGTCATCAAGAGGCCTTGTGGGACTGCCCCCCAACAGCCCAGGAGGTCCTCTGCTGGAACCCCACCCTGTCCTTCCACGGCCGGGAAGTGGCAAGGGGCGGGGGGCTTGGGGCACCTCAGGGCTCGGGCAGGCTTAGCAGGGGCCCAGGCCAGCTGCATGCCCTGATGGGGGGCTCAGAAAGGGTCGGAATGCTGGGTGGGCCAAAGGACGTGGACCCAGTCCCTGCATCCGGCCACCTGGTGGGGGGAATGGATTCCCAGACCTCCCCCAGGGCCCAGGCCCAGGCCCTCACCCCTAATGGGCTCTAGAGTGAAGCTGGCCCCTCAGCCCGTGCCCTCGCTGACTTGTGCTCGCGCTGGTCGGTTCATTTTGTCCTGGGGATGGAGCCCTGGGGCGCATTACCCCTGAGTTCCATCCCCAGTCCTTCTTATTTTTTTTATTTTTATTTTGAGACAGGGTCTTGCTAAGTTGTCGAGGCCGGCTTCAAATTTGCAATCCCCCTGCCTCGGCCTCCTGAGTTGCTGGGCTTACAGGAGTGCACCACTGCAGAAGGTTTCTGTGCCCTGTTCCGGTGGCCAGTGTGGCTTCCTCAAATGACCCTGAGGCAGACAGTGGGCAGCCCTTAGGGGACACGCTGGGAGGTGGATGTTCTGGAGGCTGAAAGTGGGTCCCTTCCCAGCAAGGTCTTCCCAGGCTCCTCTTGGCCCTGCTCTCTCCTGCCTCTGGTCTTCATGATCTGAGATCGACCCCTTCAGCCTCCTCTACCCCTGGCCGACCACTCCCAGGTAACCTTGCCAAGTTGAGGAGCTTTTCCCTCCGAGAGGTTCTCAAACTTGAGCTTGCATCAGAATCCCAAGGAGGGCTTATTAGGCTGGAGCCCAGCCCTGCATTTCCGGTTCTGTGAGCCCGAGGCAGGTTCTGAGGCTTTGCACTGGTAACGAGCTCCCGGGTGATGCTGCTGGCCAGGGACCACACATTGAGAACCACTGTCCCGGCCTGTGACACACAGTTTCCACCACTTGTCGCTGGTCCCCAGCCTGCCTAGCAGGGGGGTGAGCTGCCCCTCTGGCTCTCAGAGACGGAGCTCTGAGGCGACTCACCTCTGCTTCCCTGGGAAGGGGGTGCAGGAACTGGGCTCAGTGGGAGGAAGGGCAGACCCGTAAGTAGGTCAGGGCTGTGATTTTAATTTTATTTTTAATTTTGTTTTGTTTCCTACGGGGAAAACATCAAGAGGAAGGACAGGCCTGACAGCTGTTCGCTGCCTTGTGTGTTTTATTTTCAAAGAGGGGTTTAAGAGGTAGAGGAGTTAGAAATGCAGGGCTGGGAAGAAGGAAAAAAGTGGACGTGGGGGCTGGGGCTGAGGCTCAGTGGCAGAGCTCGCCTCGCACGTGTGAGGCCCCGGGTTCCATCCTCAGCATCACATAAAAATAGAATAAAGATATCGCATCCACCTAAAACTAAAAAATAAGTATAAAAAAAAGTGGACTTGGGGGAAAGTTTACAGATAATTTTTAACAATAGCCCTTTGCTCTCAAGTTTTATATAATGCATAGGACTGGGTTTGCTCATAATTTACCGTTTAATGATAGATAGTGTCATTTGTATCCGTGGTCCAAAGCCTCTGTCCCTTTGTCTTGTGAAATTGGACGGAAGCTCAGCAGGTTGGTGCTCGGATACTGAACTTGCTTTGATAGGGTTTGGGGTTTCCTCCTGGGTGAAGCTGCAAGCTGCAGGGTCTCTCCAGTGCCCAGTTCTGTCTTGGTGTCCCCTAGTCCTTTCACCAGCTCCTAGAATCAGGCACAAGCCAGAAAACTAACGAACAGGCCACTGACATTGAGAAAATAGAACAAAATGAAACAAAGAGGGCCATTCTCTTCTGGAACCCGGAAGTCACAGTGTGGGGCAGATGTAAAAAGCCACAAGGCCAGTAACGTGGACGCTCGTGGCCACACTTTCCCTGGGGAAGCTTCTGCCCCTCCTCGGCCTCGTTTTTATCTCCCAGGCCTCTGGGAGCCGCGGGCTGCAGGTTGAGGATTAGCACAGCTGCCCACTGCCCGCTGCCCACTGCTGCCCGAGACTGTGCTTCTGGGGCTGTTCAGAACAACAAAGCCCTTCCAGCCCCAGCTGCTGACTGACACATGGCCCAGAGCAGGCGCCACAGGCACGCACTCAAAGCCAGCAGGCTGTGGCCCTGGGCCTGGGCTGCTTGAAAGCACCTTTGCATACAAGCCCAGCTGTGCCCCTTATTTGAAGGACAGTCAAGCGAGAACAGTCACCGCCATCTCCTCCCATGTCTACCTCTGCACAGATAGATGCTTCCTTGGGGTCCACTCATCTGCAAGCCCTTAGGGCCCTTACTGGCCAGGGACCACACTTTGAGAACCACAGTTCCAGCACCCCCCACCTCTGCCTAGGGCTGGAGCCTGTCCACACACCTGGCAGGACGTCTGTCCAGGAAGGAATAAACACCCAGAGAAGGCGCCGATTTCCTCCTGCCGCCTCCTGTCCAGCTCTTCAGAGGAGGACTGCGTCTGTCTTTGTCCTTTCAAAGTCCCATTGTTCTGCCTTTGCTGGGAGCCGAGCTTGCTCCACAACAGAGTCCCCCTCTTGCAGGGCAGTTAGAATCCTACTGTGGGGAGAAGGTCAAGGTGGCAACATAAAGTGCTTCAGTTTAAACTTTCTGTTTCTGTAAAAGAGAATTCATAATCCCAAGTGTTTTAAGAGAGTCTTCAAGGAAGAAAAATGGATCATTGTTTCTCCTTTGGTGTCTTCTTGACACAGATGGAATATCCCTCATCCACAGTGTTTAGGACCAGAAGTGTTTGGGACTCGGGTTGGTTTTTTTTCCCCTCCATTTGGAATATGAGCATAGACTCGGCTGCTCAACCTTTAAGAAGTTTCGGACTTTCAGATTAGGGAAGGTCCACCTGGACGAAGGCGCTGGATCTTGGAGTCCAGGCCCTGGTAGGGTCAGAGCAGGGCCTGCCGCCTGGTCTGAGGAGCTGGGTGGTGTGCTAGCCAGCTTACTGTCAGGCTGTGGCCCTGGGCCTGGCTGCTTGAAAGCACCTTTGCATACATAAGACACCTGAGATGATCAGCTCATAAAGAGACAGGCGCTGGGGGCTCCGATTGGGAGGTTTCAGTCCCTGCCTGACCTGCTTTGGTTTTGTGCCCGTGACGAGGTAGCATGTTGGGAAGCACATGGTGGGACCCAGCCGCTCCCCTCCTGGCTGGGAAGCAAAAAGGAGAAAGAGACCGTGGTCCTGCTGTCCTCTTTAAGGACATGCGTCCAGTGACCCCAAGACCTCCCACCAAGAGTTTCCACCCCCACCCCGCAGGATCGCCAAACCGGGAACCAAGCCTGGCACCTGGGCCACTGGGGGACTTTGTAGGCTCCCACTATATCCGTGGTGACGGGGCCTCTGTGTCCGGTCCCTCCTCCCGGGGAGCAGCCTCATGGATTCCTCAGGGCTGGCGCCGCGGAATGTGTCCCTTTTTAAGCCCTGGTAGCCGTCTGCGGTGCTGGCAGAGACCTCCTCCTGCCCACCCACCCAAGGACCAGCTCTGAGCCCCGCCTCTCCCTAGGTGTCCGAAAATGCCCAGAAGCTACAGGTGGACCTGGAGCAGCACCTGGCCCGGCTCCACGAGCTCTTTGCTGCCCGGGGTGACTACATCCAGACCCTGAAGTTCATGCAGCAGATGGCAGGCAGCATCGTCGTCCAGCTCTCAGGACTGCCCGTGTGGAGGGAGGTCACCACACAGCTGACCGAGCTGTCGGACCAGACCAGCTACGTGGAGTACTACAGGTGAGGCGCTGGGAGGCCCCCGCCCCGGGAGGTACGCAGACCCGCCCTCCATCCTCCAGCTTTGGGGGTCCGTTTACATCTCTCCTGACTCCCCATCCCAGGTGAAGTCCCCGGACACAGGTCAGAGACTGTGGCTGGCCCCCCTCCCTTGGGGGGGGCGTTTCTGTAGCAAGAGTCCAGGGAGCAAGAGTCTAGGGAGCGTTTCTGTAGCAAGAGTCCAGGGAGCAAGAGTCTAGGGAGCGTTTCTGTAGCAAGAGTCCAGGAAGGAAGCAGCAGTCCGGCTCGTAGGGTGACCCCCGGCCAAATGGCAACCTTGACTCGCAGAGTGTGTGTCCTGGTGCTCCCGGGGCCTGGTGCCCACACAGAGGAGGCCCAAGGGTGGAGCGGATATGAGTCGTGGAGAGCAAATGTCAGCCTTTGAGTCCCCCCCCCCACCCCCCCAGTGTGCTGGCTCCTGTGAGGCCATTGATGAAGGCAAAGCCTTTTCACCAACTTGCACAGTGCACTCTGCTTTTCTGGATTTGCCCTAAAGCCCCACCCCAGGAGGTCACTGCTGGGCTGAATCCAGAGAGAATGCTCCAGAGACTCCCCCGGGGCTCCCCTTCCCATGAGGAGGAGGAAGGGGGCTATGAAGTCCCTGCCGCAGATGGTGCTCCCGGCCCTCGGCCCCCCCACCTGTCCAGCTCCTGCATTTCCACGATGTGATGGACGTTCTAGATTGAAAGGGACCTTGGTCCAGCTCCCCACCAGACAGATGCTGATGGGCAAAATGACTCCCCCCGCCCCCCAGGACAGAGAGAAACTGCCAACTCTGAAGGTGGTCTGAGACCTCCCCTGGCCCTAAGGAGCACCTGAGCCCAAGGACTTGGGGACCCTTCATAGCCGAGCCTGTCAATTGACATATTGAAAGGAGCTTACTGTTGAGTTGAATTTGTTTGAAATAGGGGCAAAGTGACAACCGAAGTGCAGGTCCCTTCTGTGCCCCATTTCCAACCCCCGCCCTTCATTCATGATGAGGCTGTGACCTGAGGAAATGGACTGTGGCGTCTTGCCCCCGCAGAGCCACTGTGGCTCACAGGCCTGTTTAGGGAGCTTGGCAGCAGGGGCCTCTCACATTTGCCTTCCTGGTGGCTTCTCCGTGTGGCCACCCGGCAAAATAAATGCTTCTGGGACAACACGAGGTCTGGCAAGGGTCTGACGGAGGTAAAGGGTGGCCGGGAGGTCGGGGTCACCCAAGCAGCTTCCAGGAGAGAGCCTGGTTTGGGAGCGTGGAACCCACAGTTTGCAAGGGGCCTGTGGCCGGCTGTGCCCCACGGAGAAGGAGAGTGTGGCGTCCTGCGCAGCATCTGGAACTGGCTGGCACCTTGGAGTCCCCAGTCTAGGATGGGATCCTAGGGCCAGGGGTTCCAAGGTTCCTCCCAGCTCTGAGGCTAAGGAAACCAGTTCCTTCGTCACCCCCAGCAAGTGGGGGGTGCACTCTGCCCTCCCCCAAAGTCACATATCCAATTCTGGGAACCCAAGGCCTGCTGTGTGCTGCCCCCTGCCCCGTGTGGGAATCACGGACTTGGACCGGGCCCCAGCTCTGGACACTTAACCTCCCTTCTCTTGGCTCCCAGGGTCTGCAGTGTGCTCCTTCCGCCACGGAGCCTCTCTCCCTCCCTGCCAGCCCTACCTGGGTCCCTGAGCAGCACTCCAGGTGCTCCCTCCCCCTCTCTTACGCTGTTGGAGAGACAGGAGGGAGGGGTCAATGAATTCAATCGGCCTTTGCATCAAGACAAGTAATGACCAAGGGCTTCCCTCCGTGAGGACCTCTCCCATCCCCTACCTCTGTCCCTGCTGCCTTCCCTGTGCCCCTCTGCATCTAGCAGGCCTCGGCCCTCGCCCTGTGAGATAAGGGTTCTGACTCCCTCACAGATATGGAAGCAGGTTCAAAGGGCAAAGTGACTTGTCACTGTCTCCCAGGGGTATGTGACAGTCTTTCCCCATTAGCTCAGCCTGAGGGGTAGAAAGGCCCGAGGAACCCAGGGCTGGGAGGCCTGGAGGTGCGTGGGTGCCTCGTTCCCCAGTGGTCAAGAACAAGCCTTCTTGTGTGGACATCCCTGGTGCCAAGCTCAGTGCATGGCACAAACGTGGGTTGAAATGAACCTGAACAGCCTACATCGTGGATCCCACACAGATGGGGGCAAGATGGGAGACCTGGGGGTCAGGATGGGGGGCTAGATTGAGCATTCATTGAAGAAGTGGGTATTGCTAGGTGAGGCTGCACATTTCTGTAATTCCAGCAACTTGGGAGGCTGAGGCAGGAGGCTAGCAATTCAAGACCAGCCTCGACAACTTAGTGAGACCTTGTGTCAAAAATAAAGTGTGTGGTGCAGTGTTTGCCCAGCATGCACAGGGCCTTGGGGTCAGTCACCAACACTTAAACAAATAAAGGAAAAAGAAGAAGTAGTGGGCACTCAGGGGCCTCCTTAGGTCAGAGGCTGTGATATCAGGCTTGGCCTGCTGCTGTCAGAGGGTCCGAGAAACAAAGGGAAACAGGCTCTCGGGAGAGGCCTGCAGGTGGGCTCCAGAGACTCTTCAGAGCTGTGCTGTCCTGTGTGATGACCAGGAGCCACGTGGACAGTTTAACTGTTAGGTAAAGCTAAAAATTCATTTCCTCGCCTGCACAGGCCACGTCTCGGGTTCTTAGTGGCCACCTGCGGGCAGTGGCAGGTGGACTGGGCAGAACCGCTGTAGAGCGTCCCCACGGTGCACAAGTTCTAGGGGACGTGCTGGATGAGACACGGCCGGGGAGTGAGGCCAGGGCAGGGAGGTGGGATCAGGGTGCAGCCAGGGCCCCTCAAGAGCCTCCAGCCCCTACAGGCTCCAGGAAGCTTGTCTCAAGGAAGGGTCCAGCAACAGGGACTCCAGGGTGGGTTCTGCCTCGCTGGCCTGACCGTCCCTCTTTCTCCTCCCAGGTGGCTCTCCTACCTCCTGCTCTTCATCCTGGACCTGGTCATCTGCTTCATCGCCTGCCTGGGACTGGCCAAGCGCTCCAAGTGTCTCCTGGCCTCGTGAGTAGCCCTGTCCATGGGCCTGGGACAAAGAGCTGGGCCAGGTGCTGCTAGCAGAGAGAGGCCAGGGCCTGGCTGGGCCCGGCCGGGGGGCAGGGGGTGGGGATAGCCCGCAGGGGCTCCCGTGTGTCCCCTCCCTTGTGGGTCTGATTGTGGGGCAGCTGGAGGAGCGCAGGTCCAAGCCCAGCACCTGTCCTCTCTGTCCAGTGTCCCCTCCTAACTGCTGTCTCTCTGCTGGGTCCCTTAGCCCAGGACCTCTGCTCTAGGCCTTGGGCCCCATAACGCTGTCCAGCACTCGCAGGGCTGTGGCTGCGTGGGGTAGCAGCTAGAAAGAAGGGTGCTGGAAATAGGGTGCACGCTGTCACAGGGGACCCCGCCTGCCACCCTGCGGGACCCATGCCCCTGTCTCTCTCTAGGACGCTGTGCTGCGGGGTGCTGGCGCTGCTCCTCAGTTGGGCCTCCCTGGCCGCCGACTCGGCCGCCGCAGTGGTGAGTGGGGCAGTGGGGGGTCGTCTGTCTGGTGCTGGGTCCTGTTGAGAACCCCCAGGCCGGGCCAGCTTCCCGCCCTGGCCCCTCACCTAGCATCCCAGAATCTCAGGACTGGAGGACCTGGTGTCTTTAACCAGCCCCTCTCCTTCCAGGGGGGAAACAGGAGGGAAGGGTGGTCACTTAGGGACAGAGCCAGGACAGGACGGACGCCAATGCTTGTGAGGCTCATGCTGACCGGTCACTTCTGTCTGGGGGTGAAGAGCTAACCGGGTCGGGGGTCTCTAGCTCAGGCTGGAGGGGCCCGCTTCCCTGGGCCTGGGGAATGTGGGGCTGTGGCTTGAAAACGTGAATATCTCCTGGTCCCTCAAGATGTCATTAAAAGCAGGGGCTCCTATGAAGGTACATCAGGACTTTAATGGACCTGACAGTTGTATGCACGCTCCTGTGTGTGTGTGTGTGTGTGTGTGTGTGTGCGTGCAAGGGTATGTGTGTGTGCCTGTGTGAACACAGATGCTGAAGGGGCGGCATGTACCAGAGGATTTCACGGGACCCCTCCCTGAGTCAAGGGCCTCAGATGAAGGCCCTGAGACCTTGGCGTCCTGCCCTGGGTTGTGATGGACGCCCCCAGCCCACGCTCACACCAGGTTCAGAGTCTCAGGGACTGCCCAGTAGCTCTGGCCGTGGGCACGTGGCCTCCACGAGGCCCACCCAATCAATGGCCCCTGGTGCCACTTGACTCTGCATCTTGTGCAGAGGAAGTGGGCACCTCCTGTCTCCCCCCCTCTGTGCCATGGCCACATCCCCAGGACTGGGGCAGAGAAGGCCAGTGTTGTCTCAAAGCTCTGGAGCCGAGAGGGCTGTAAACAGAGCCCAGGGAGCCCCCGGGCCAGAGTGACCGGCACAGCTGCCTGGCAGCGTCTCGAGAGCAAGCACAGGGAGGCCTCCCGGGCAGGCCTCCCGGGTCCGGCCCCCCATCCAGGGCTGCGTCTGCCTCTGGAAGCACCGGGGACTTCCAGCTTGCCACCACCAGCTGCCCCTTAGGAGCCGGCCCCCTCCCAGGGGGCTTCTCTCACCCAGCTCCCTGGGCAGGGGACCCACAGGGATTGATTTCAGCTCACAGCCGGGTGCCCTGGAATGCCAGGGACTGGGAGCACTGCCATCTCCCTAATTCCATTAGTCAGGCCCTGGTGCCAGGGGGGAGGGGGAGGGGGGCTGAGGCCCTGCTGAAAGGGCCTTTGATGGCCGGGGACGCTGCCGCATTTTAATAGGAAGAGGAGCAAGGAGGAGCAGGGGGCCGCTGGCTGTCAAGGGGTCATTGTGCTGAGCTTTGTGTGGCCTCTGCTGCCACCCTGTTCTCTGAGGCCCGTTTTGAGAGTCTCTGGGCCAGAGGACTGATACTGCCACCCTTCCCCCACCTTCCCCAGAAAGGCCCTCCGTAGGACAGGCCCTCCACAGGCCCCTGAGAAGCTGGGCCAGAACGACGCTCTCGGCTGGGCACAGTGGCGCAGGCCTGTACCCCCAGCAGCTTGGGAGGCTGAGGCAGGAGGATCACAAGCTCAAAGCCAGCCTCGGCAACTTAGCAGGACCCTGTCTGAAAATGAAAACTGAAAAGGGCTGGGATGTGGCTCAGTGGTTGAGCACCCCTGGGCTCAGTCCCTGGTACCAAAGAGAAAAAAGGAGAAGACAAGAAACGATGCCCTCAGATGCCACGAGAGGTAGTGGGCGCTGGGGCTGAGCTGAGCCTCCAGGCCTGTGACCCAGCCTCACCCCCCGACCCTCCTGACCAGAGGGCGTTAGGAGGTGCAGGGCCGTTCAGACAGAGGAGAGGAAAACCCCAGAAGAAGGAAGGGGTGGGCCACAGAGCAGTGTGGCGGGGCTCTGTAGTCAGAGGCGTGTGGCCGCTGGAGCCCCCCAGCCTGTGCCACGTCCCCCTTCACCCCTTCCAGCAGTGGAACCTCAGGAAAGTCTCTGCGTGCCTCGGTTTCCCCGGGAATAACACGGAGAGGGTTCCAGTACCCAGCTGAGAGGGCGGGGGAGGCAAAGATGAGGGGTGAATCCAGGGGGTTCTTGGTCAGTGTTCCCAGGTCTGGGCAGCTCCTCCCGCCACCCCATCTGTACCAGGCGCCCCTCCCTCTCCCCTGCCCTTCCTCCTCCTCCTTCCCCACTGTGGGAGTGCTGTACACACTCCCACACGAGCACACACACCTGTGCACACATACACGCTCACACACGTGCACACACACGTAGGCACTGCCGTGATAGGAGATGAGGCTCCTCACAGCCACACTCGGCACACCATCCTGGCTAAGCTGGCCCCCCGGAGCGGGACTGGAGTAGCCAAGGGTCTAAAGCCCACATGTGTCAGCTTTTCATCACTGTGACCAAAATGCCTGGCGGGAGCAACTCGGGAGAGCAAGGTGATCTGGGCTGGTGGCTTCGGAGGTCTCCGTCTGAGGCTGACCAGCCCCATCTCTGGCTCAGGGTGAGGCTGAGCATCGGAGCAGAGGAAAGCTGCTTCCTTGGAGGTGGCCAGAAAGCAGGGAAAAAGGGGGAGGAACCTGGGGACAGCCTATAACCCCCAAAGGCACGCCCCAGCCACCCACCTCCAGCCACGCCCAGCTGCCTGCCCCCCAGGACAGAAGTCCTTTCACATCATCAACTGCCTCAATTGACCAATTAGGTCACGGCTCTCAGAATCCACTCATCTCACCCCTGAATAGTCCTGAGTTAGCACAGGAGCTGGGGGGACATCTCCTATCCAAACACAAGAGCAGCCCTGGCCCAGAGGGAAGGAGCCACGTCCCTGCTGGAGCTCAGCTGGGGCCCTCCTGTCCCTCCCTCCCCTGGGATCCCCGGTTCCCCCGGCCTGTAGGCCTCCCAGTACAGCTTCCGGTGCCAGTTCTGCTGGTACCTAGTAGGTACTCGCCACCTCTGACTCAGCGAGTGAGGATCCTGCAGTGTGGCACCTCAAGGCAGTGGCCCCCAAAGAACAACGGGGTGCCTGGCAATGCGGGCTGTCTGCAGGGGTGTCCCTGCTCAGGGAGCATGCACCAGGCCAGGGGTTGGTGCCTCAGAGGGGGCTACAGGACTGGAACTTACCCTGGCTGCTCTGAAAGTGGGGGCTGCCTTCCCCCAAAGCCCACGGCACCCCGGCTGGATCTGAGGGGCTTGGCTCAGAGGATGGCATCCGTGCCGCCACCTCTCCTAGGGCCTGTGCCTGCGCCACACAGCCACACAGGTCTGTGGCCACCTAGCTGGGCCGTGCTGCAGGACCAGGTCCCCAGCTTGTCCTGACTCCCAGCCCCTTGTCCTTCCTGTCCCCTGTCTCATCAGTGAGGACCTGTCCCTGAAGGCTCTAGGATGGATTTATCTGTCACCTCACTCCTTAGGGAGCCTTCACAGAATGACGACCGGAGCTTGTAGGCCTTGATGACAGTAATAAAGGTAAACTGAGATGAGTACATGCGGCCGGGGTGCAGGGAACTCCCCCACGCCCTGCAGCTGCCCCCGGCCCAGGGGCACCTGACCCCCTGAGCGTCTGCTCCAGAAGAGGCATGAGCAGTCCTGTGCCAGGTCACTTTCCAGAACCCCTCGTACACACTCGTAAGGTGCAGTTACTGTCCCCAGGTGACAGACAATGCAGCCACGGCACAGGAGGAATGAGTAACCCGTCCAGGAAACGGCCAGGGAAGGGTGGGGCAGGGACTGGAACCCCGGTACCTGCTCCCACTGTTCTGCTCTCCCTGGGAATGGCCGGAGGGTCAGAGCGACTGGCCTTCCTCCACTCCCTTCCATCTCTCCCTGACCCAGGGCACCAGTGACTTCTGTGTGGCTCCTGACACCTTCATCCTGAACAACACGCAGGGCCACATCAGCACAGGTAATGCGCGCTCCTAGACCTCTGCTGTTGGGGCCTCTCTGGACACTCAGGCCAGGCCCATGTGGCTGGCCACTGTGTGCCTCTGCTGAACCTCTTTCAGCCCTGTCACCATTCAACCTCTCCTGCCCCAGACTTCAGGTCCACTTGGACCTTTTTCTAGAAACTGGGAGCATGGGTGGGGAGGGAGGCCCAGCTCACCCACTGAGGGTGGTCGAGGGGTTGGTCCTTTGTGAGCTGCCTGACACCAGTGTCATTGCCTTGCAGAGGTGACGCGCTACTACCTGTACTGCGGTCAGAGTGTAAGCAGCCCCTTCCAGCAGGTACAGCCACCCAGACACACCCTCACCCTACCACAGCCCCTCTGTCCCCTCCCTCCCTCTAGAACCCAAGCCCCACCACTGACTGGGAGGCTGGGAGGCTGGGAGGCTGGGCCGGGCCTCACTCTGGTCCTTGTGTAGCTGCCTGAGGGGGCTGTGCTCTTGGTCTGTGTGTTCAGATCTGTGTTGCTCATACATTCCCCTCCTCTGGGGTGCTGTTACCCCGCAGGTGCTGGTCAGGGTTAGAATTCCTCCTACGCTCCCAGGCTAGGCCCATGCGCTGGTCTGAGGACCGCATCTGAGAAGCAGGAAGTAGGTCTGTGTAGGTCTCAAGAGGCCAGAGGAATGGGGTGGGGGGGACTCCTGCAAGCCGGAGGGCCTGTAGTAATGACCACAGGGAACAGCTGACCAGATGGCTGGGAGTGGGAACCCTGGGGAACTGCCACCCCCAAATGGACCAGGGTCCCCAACATTCTACAGCCTACCCGGTCCCACCTCTTATCCCTAGCCCCTGCATTTTGAGTGTAAGCAGCCCCTTCCAGCAGACGCGGCCCACCTGGAAACCTGTGCCTTGGCAGGAGGGTCTAGTGGGCGGTGGGGGGCTACAGGGGCTGTGGAGGCTTCTGGGAAATGCAGCCTCATGGGGGCTGTGCTCTCTCCGCCCAGGTGTTGACCACCTTCCAGCGCTCGCTGACCACCATGCAGATCCAGGTGGTGGGGCTGCTGCAGTTTGCCGTGCCCCTCTTCCCCACGGCGGAGGTAAGGCCGGGTGGCCCCACCGCCCTTCCCGGCCACACTCCCCCCACCCCGAGCCCCAGGCCGGCTCTGAGTGTGCCCCGCTCTGCCTCCCGCAGCAGCTCGGGGCCCTTGTGTTTGGGTCTGTGAGCCCACGCCCTTCCCTGCCTCTTTCCCCCGCCTGCTCCAGAAAGATCTCCTCGGGATCCAGCTCCTGCTGAACATGTCGGAGACCAGCCTTCACCAGCTGACCGCCATGTTGGATTGCCGAGGGTTGCACAAGGTGCTCGGGTGACCTCGGGGGTACATGGAGGGTACGGGCCGCTCCCCCCAACCAGGTCTCCCAGAGAAGCCCGTGGAGGCCCAGGAGAGAGATTCCCTGGGCCCCCTCAGCTAGGCCGTGGGAGGGGAAGAGGTGCGGCTCCTCTGTCCAGTGGCTGAGACAGGGTGGCTCAGTGGGGGTTACTGGGGGCGGGGTGTCAGGGGTGTGAGGGACTGGGCCAAGAACAAAGGGACCCCAAATCCTTAAAACCCCAGACTCCGCAGAAGCCACGCTGCTCTCCTGGAGGCAGAACACGCAGGGCCGGCCCGTACCTTACCCTCATTTCTCACTTTTCCAAGGGGCTCCTGTCTATACTCAAAAGAAAGGTGGTGGGGACAGGAGTAGGAGGGTCGCCCAGCTTAGAACTCTGGGGCCCTGGCCACTGAAGAAGACAGTTCTCCCTTATCCCAGATGACTCCCGGCCGTCTGGGAACCCATCTTCCTGGGTTGCAAGTGCATGTCCTAATCTCGTGACCAGCGTCATCTTTCTAAGAAGTTGGAATGTCGGTGGAGGGGGTAGCCGGGCACTGTGGCACCCCCCTGTCATCCCAGCCACTCCAGAGGCTGGGGCAAGAGGATAGCACGTTCAAGGCCAGCCTCAGCAACTTATCGAGATCCCATCTAACAATAAAAAGGACAGGGATCAGCACAGTAGTGAAGCAATCCTGGGTTCAACCCCAAATCGAAAACAAAAACAAAAAAATAATAATTGCTGGGAACACAATGGAAATATGCCAGTGCCCCCCACCCCCACCCCCACCCCCAAGCATTGAGCCAATGCGTGTGATCCTCTTCTGTGGATTTAGAGGCAGTAATCAGAATAACTGTCACAGCTGCCATTGATTAAGTACTCAGCCCTGTTCCGTGCACTGTGTAGCCATATGTCATTTATCCTCACAAGGGTCTTCCACAGTTACTTCCCCAGGACACGTTCTAGATATGGAAACCAGACTGTGCCTGGGTGTGGAAGGGAGGGGGAGGGTGGTGCCCGAGAGGAGCTTGCCATCTGGCCTCGGGTGACAGAGGGATGACACATGCTGAAGTAGCTTCTTGAAGATACTGAGCTGGCAAGTCAGGGATTTGGCTTTGGGACCCTGACTGTGTGACTTTGGAGCTAAGAGCATGGGAGCCACCCTGTGCCCGCTCTCCCTCCCCTGACATCCAGCACCTCAGCAAGTCCCAGCGAGGACACGCTCAGGCGAACCCTGGATCTGCCCACTTCCGTCTTCACAGCTTCCCCAGTCCTGGTCCCCTGGGTGACAGGCATGGCCTACCTGTTCCCCAGGAAGGCAGAGCACCCCTCAGCTTCCTCTGGCCCCTTACCACCCAGACCTTCCACACTAGCAGCCAGAGGTCCTTTAGAAAAGGAGTCCGTTGGCTCCATCCACCCGCAGACCCTCCGGTGACCTCCACTTGCCTCCTCTCCCGCTGGCCAGCCTGTGCCTTGGCCTTGTCTCCTAAGACGCGCTCCTCCTGCCCTCCTGGCCCCTGTTGTGCCTCCCCACAACCCCCTGTGTGGTTCAGAGCCAGCTCTCTGGTGCCCAGCAGGCGGTAGGTGCCCAGGAGACGCTTGCAGGGTGAACCCAGGAAGCTGCCTTGTGCCAGCTCCAAACCAGGGAACCTTTAATGACAGTAAGAGATGCTTGGGATGGGAGCGGCCAGAAGCCCAGAGTCCAGGCTGGGAAAGGGCTTCCAAAGAAGGGCGTGGGCCGCAGGTCCTGCTGGCTCGTTCCCCCTCCAACCTCTTGCCCACCTGCCCCTCCCCAGGACTACCTGGACGCCCTCACCGGCATCTGCTATGATGGCGTCGAGGGCTTGCTGTACCTCGGCCTCTTCTCCCTCCTGGGCACCCTGACCTTCTCCACCCTCATCTGTGCGGGACCACGGGCCTGGAAGCACCTCTCCTCCAGGTGGGCTGCCAGAAAACGGGGCTTCCTGCTGACCGGGGGCCCCTGGGGGAGCAGAGGAGAGCTGATCACCTGACCAGCAAGGCCGTCGAGGGCCACCACGAGCCCCAGCACACCGACGGGCTTCCTGTAGGGCCCTTCCCAAGAGTCCAGACAGTCCCCAAAAGAAGGCTCACGGGCCCAGGGCAGCCTGGCACCCCTTGCTTCCCCTCTTCTTCAGCAGGACTCTGCAAAGTGGGGTGCTGAGACGTGGGTGTGCAGGGAGATGCATTCTGTCACTGTCGGGGAGGACCTGCCTCAGCATGGTGGGCTGCCTGGGGGAGGAGGACCTGGAGTTGGGAGCGGCGGAGTGATCTGCGTGAGGCGGGGACGAGGATCAGGCTTTTGAGGAATCTGCAGGAGACTCATCTGCCCGGGGATAGGAGTGGGGGAGCGTCCTGGGTGGGAAGAGCAGAACAGGCCTCCGGCCTCCCTCAGCCCCGCTGGCTGAATTCCACGTGTTGTTCTAGGGACAGAGACTACAACGACATCGATGACGACGACCCCTTTAACCCCCAAGCACGGCGCATCGCGGCCCACAACCCGCCCAGGGGCCAGCTGCATAGCTTCTGCAGCTACAGCAGCGGCCTGGGCAGCCAGAGCAGCCTGCAGCCCCCCGCCCAGGCCGTCTCCAACGCGCCCGTCTCTGAGTACATGTAGGCAGGCTCGGGCCCAGCCCTTCCCATTCCTGGAGGGCAGCTGGGTCTGCGGGGGGCATGGGGAGGGAGGTCATCAAAGGCCAGCTGTGGTCCCCCAGCTGCAGCCACGGAACCCCCGGTGGCAAGCATCTAGCTGCCTGTGTGCCCTGGGGGAGCCCTGACAAATGTCCAGCCGCGGCCCCTTGGCAGGTCCCAGGCGCCATGCTGCCCGCTCTGGACCCCACTGCTCCTGGCCCCGTCCTGTCTGCGCATGGCCTCGTGCCCCTGGAGGACCCGCTCCTTATTTGCCCACCCACGCTCCCGCCACTGTGTCCATTTCTGCACACCCAGGGGACCCTCCTAGAAACCCGCAGGCCCTCCCCCCACGCAGACCCTGCTCAGCCCCCTCTTGTCCCCCAGGAACCAGGCCATGCTCTTTGGTGGGAACCCACGCTACGAGAACGTGCCGCTGATCGGGAGAGGCTCCCCTCCGCCCACGGTAAGTGCCCTCAGCGGCACAGTCACGGTCTGCCCTTGTTGGGGACATACTGACAAAACGCCCTGGCGACCCCAGCGAGCGCTCCCCACAGAGGCAGAGAAGGAGGAAACCATCTTGTTATGGAATGAGCATTGGACCAGCCCCCGGGGCGCAGACAGGCTGCCCGAGAGACGGCAGAAAGGGAAATCGGGCCCTTTCCTGTGGCTGGCCGGCGGCCTGATGCACCCCTGTCCTCTGGATAAATGGTACCTGTCCTTAAGCAAGAGATCACACAGCACCACCCATCCCTCTGGCCCGTCCCGAATCCCTCTGGTGGTTGGGTGGATGTTAGGTGATGGCCTTCATCATAGGAAGAATTACATTCCTCATATCTTCACGACAGTCACCGAATACCAGCTCAGAGGTAGGTACTTCAGTCAAGCTCTGAGGAGCAAAGACACTGCCTTCCGCTATGTGACCTTCCCCAGGGGTGGCTCTCAGGCCCTCAAGGAGCCGTCCCTCCACTCCTGCACAGTAAGCCTGGCCAGAGTCTTGTTGTCCTTTTGGAAAGCAGAGGGCTGGTGGTGAGGCTCAGGGGTCGAGCGCTTGCCTAGCACGCCTGAGGCCCTGGGTGCCATCCCCAGCAGAGAAATGATTTACAGTAGGTTTTCCAAAGAAAATACTCCAAGAAGAGCCATGTGTGGTGGCAGACGTCTGGAAACAGAGCCACTTGTGAGGCTGAGGCAGGAGGATCCTGGTCCAAGGCCAGCATAAGCAGCTTAGTGAGACCCTGTCTCAAAATGAAAGGGTTGGTCGGGCGCTGTGGCACATATCTGTGATCCCAGCAGCTCGGGAGGCTGAGGCAGGAGGATCATGAGTTCAAACCAGCCTCAGCAAAAGTGAGGCCTTAAGCAAAGTGGCTCGGTGGTTGGGTGCCCCTGAGTTCAATCCCTGGTACCCAAAAATAAATAAATAAAAGGGTTGGGAATGTAGCTCAGTAGTAACATCCTCCCCAGTATCACACACACGAAAAGAAAAAAAGAAGGAGGAGGAGGAAATGACTCCGAGAGGACCTTCTCTTCCTTTTGTAGCAGGGAAAGTTACAGGAGGTTTCCTTTTTACATCTGTGTCTCCTCGGCCCTGGCCTCTGGGTGGCCCTGGGCAGGAGGGTGGGTCTGGGAGGCCAATGCCAGGCAGCCTCTTTGCTCCGTCAGGACTGTGCCCACCCCGTGCAGCCAGCAGGAGCAGTGGCAGGCAGGAGCCCCAGGTGTGCAGGTGGGCAGCTGAGAAGGGAGCGCTCTGCCACTTCTCAGGGAGCATCTGCAGGTCACAGGGCCACTGCCCTGGGCACAGCATAGGCTCCCGGGCCAAGGGCCTGCCTTGGAATCCTAGCTCTTGCTTGTGGCCTCTGTGACCTTGGACCAGGACAGTGTCTTCCAGTGCCTCGGTTTCTCCGTGTGTAGAAGGGAGATGGTGGTCACAGACCCCTGCGAGGGTGCTCTGAACACGGGAGGACCCGGTCTTAGAGTTCTCCAGTGACCCCTAAGACTGGCCGGCCCCTGCCTGCTCCTTCCATCAACAGCACTTCCTCCCGCCCTCTTCTCCACAGAGGTGTGGCCTTAGAAGAAAGGCCCAGGTCGGGTGGCTGCAGGACGTGGGCCAGAGAGTCTAGGGGCAGGGTTTGCCTTCACTTGACCCGGGAGGCGTCCTGCCTGCCCCACCCAGGGAATCTGGAAGGGGATCAGAAACTGGTGCAATAGGCACTGGGGACCAAGTACCTGGTACCAGGGAGGGAGAGCCGGGAAGCAGGTGGGTGAGGTGTGGGTGCCCTGCCCTCCACCAGCCTTCCCCACCCTGCTGTCTGCCCAGAGCACCTCACCAGCTGTCTGCTTGGTTTTTGTTCTTGTTTTTGCTTTTTTTTTTTTTAACAGGGGATTGAGCCCAGGGTCACTTTACCACTGAGCTAAGTCCCCAACCTTTTTTTTTTTTTTTTGAGACGGGGGGGTCTCATTAAGTTGCTTAGGGCCTCCCTGAGTTGATGAAGCTGGCCTTGAACTTGGGATCCTCCTGCCTCAGCCTCCTGAATCACTGGGATTACAGGCGGGCACCATGGTCCCTGGCTCATCTGCTGACCTTTCTAAGCAGTTTTCCAACAGCACCAGACCCTGCCTCACTTTGTTTTCTCCCCGAGACTCAGGGGAGTGAACTAGTTGAAGCCTGTATTTAGAGTAAGCACCTTTTTTTTTTAATTTAAAATTTTTAATTTTTTTAGAATTTTTATTTATCTATTCCTGTGCTGGGGTGGAACCCAGGGCCTCGCGCATGCCAGGCAAGCCCTCTACCATTGAGCTCCACCTCCAACCACCCAGAGTCAGCACCTGGCTTCTCTCCTAATCAGAAGCCTGCTGGATCCCTTCTCCCACCAGCGGCTGGGCCCCAGGGATTCAGATTGACTTTAATATTAATCTAAGCAAAACATAATTAGGGGAAATCTGCTGCCTTGGAAAAGGAATTACTGGGTGCCTTGTGACACTAAATGAAAAGATTCTCAGGTTAAAGACCAGGCCCCTCCCCCTGCCCCCAGTAGAGGTAGATAAGAACTGGCCTTCATGCAAGACTCAAGGACAGAATAAGCCTCCCCCTAGACCAAGCCTGCCCAGAGACCCTCAGTGCTTTGGCATAGTTGGCTGTGCAGCGCCACCAAGCTCAGCCCTGCAAGAGGCAGAGGACATTGCTAAGGACCCCACTGGCCCCAGCATGGAGGGTTTCTCCAATGTGGCACACCTGAGTGGGGGTGTGGCTCAGTGGTAGAATCGGACACACCCCCACCCCCAGTGCTGAGCTCCCTATGGGGGACAGCAGGAGGGTTTCCCTGGCTGGCCGACACCCAGCAAGGCCATCTGGAAGGTACAGCCTGTTCCTCCACTGGAAATGTGTCTTCCCCCAGCTCTGCCTTCAGGGAACCCCTCCTCCCAGGCACTGCTTCCTGGACCTGATGGACAAAAATGGCCCAGGACAGTCCATCCAAAGAACAGCCTTACAACAAATTGAGTTAAAGATCCGTGGCTTTGTTTGTGGTTCTGGAATTGGACAGCACCACATTCCGTAAATAGAAGGAGTGTTCCACTGAGCCCAGCCGAGGAGGGGCTTCTTGTTTGTTTGTTTGTTGTTTTGGTGATGCTGGGGATAAACCCAGGGCCTCGCCCAAGCTAAACCACATGCTTTACCTCTGAGCTGCTCCCCAGCCCCCAGGAGGCTGATTTTATAGACAATGAAAGACTAAAGAAAGCAGAAACAAGGAACAAAAAGTGGAGTGGTCACCGGGCACAGTGGTGCATCCCTGTAAACCCAGCAGCTCAGGAGGCTGAGACAGGAGGATTGTGGGTTCAAAGCCAGCCTCAGCAACTCAGCAAGGTGCTAAGCAACTCAGTGAGACCCTGTCTCTAAATAAAATACAAAATAGGACTGGGGATGTGGCTCAGTGGTTGAGTGTCCCTGAGTTCAAGCCCCCCCAGAACCCCCCCGCCAAAAAAAAAGTGGATTGGTCATTTCAAAGTTATCTTCCCTTAAGACTAGAATGGAGTGAGAACAGTGGAGATCACTGATTGGTTAATGCCAGGTCACAGTGCTGGGGATCAAGCCCAGGGCCTTGTGCATGCTAGGCAACCACAGGCCCAGCCCCCGGGTCACTTTTTCTAAAGATTAAAGGGGAGGGAACTTAATGATCATGCTGGTGGAAACTGACCTGCTTAGGAGGACACTCAGTCTTTCTTATTCTCCCGATATCTCTGAAGATCAGATAAACAGCTTAGCTTTGGTTTGGTGGATTGAGACTCTAGGTCAAGTGACTCCGTTTGGATTTGTAGCTGCGTCTCATGGGGACCCTCGCAGAAGTTCTGTCCAAAGCAAAATACTGCTTTAAGGGGATCATCCTACAAAGGAGCATCAGAGTCACTCAAGGGGACTGGTTGAAACAGACCGTGGGCCCACACTGCCTCTGATTCAGGAGCTGAGGGCTGGCCTGGAGACCGTGGTAGAGGACCTGGGCTCTGGTCCTTGCTGCCTCAGCACTGTGGAGGGGCGGGGTCATCCTTTGTGGTGGGCTGTTCTGTGCATTGCAGGGTGTGTAGCAGCATCCCTGGCCTCTATCCACTGGGTGCCAGTAGCACCCCAGCCCCCAGCTGTGATGATCAGAACCTCCCCAGACATGGTCAGAAGCCCTGGGAGACAAAGCCACCTGTCATGGAGACTCACTGGGCTGCAGAGCCTCTGCCCTCTCCTCCCTGACACCAGCCCAAGTGGTGGGAGTATTCAGTCCCCTCTGGGGTGAATGGCTTGCACCTCCAAAGCTTCCCCAGGCCAGGAGACAGTCAGAGCACGCGGCCCTTGCTCAGGCCGGCAGAGCAGCAGCATCCATAAGCTCATTAGAAATGTGGGATCTCAAGTCTCATGGACAAGGTCCCCAGGTGCTCTGGGCTCAGGGCGTGGTGTGAGAAGCCCTGTCTCTGCTGCCTGAGGAGTGACTAAGTGCTCACCCTGTACCAGGTCACTACTTCTCCATGTTGGAATTGCCTGAAGAGCACTTTGCAAGTCGCGGGTGGCGTGCGTTCGTTTATGTATTTTTGGGGATCTAACCCAGGTTGTCACGCATGCTAGGCAAGCGCTCCACCGCTAAGCTACTCCCCCAGCCCACTGATGTCACTTAAAAAGCAACCATATACAGGGTCTTGCCTGGTGTCGTTTCATCCTCTCTCTGTCAGAGCATGGGTGCTCTGTGTGTGCATGGTGTGTTTGAGGCTGGAGCAAGACACCCTGAGGGACAAGGGACAGAAGGCATCACCAGGCACAAAGCCCGCCCTAGTCACTCTCAGATCCCTCAGCCCCTCAATGACTTGTGATTGAAACTCCCTGCCCGGCTGGCTTGGCTTTCCCCCTCTGCAAGCGCCTGGCTCCTGGGTCTCCATGGGGGTTGGTTCTAGGACCCTGAGGACACCCAATCTGAGGATGCTCAAGTCCCTGATGTAAAATGATGTGGCATTTACAGGCAGCCCACACAATCCTCCTGGATCAGTCAACCCATCTCCTGATCACCCTTAATTCCTCATACAATGCAAATGCTGCGTAAATAGCTGGTGTCCTGTATTGTTTAGGAACTAACAAGAAAAGGTCTGACCGTGTTCAGTGCAGACGGTTTTTTTTAAAAAAATACCTTGTCTGAGGTGGTTGAATCTGTGGGGCCACAGGATACGGGGACGGGGTGGGTGGCGGTGGGCTCTACTGTGCCCCGTTCACTGGTGACAAGCTGTGCCCTGCCCGCCCCTCTCTCCCCCACAGTACTCTCCCAGCATGAGGGCCACCTACATGTCCGTGGCGGATGAGCACCTGAGGCACTACGGGAATGAGTTTCCAGCCTAACGGGTGGACGTGGACTTCCTCCGGCAGCAGCTGCCTCCCCCTCCCAGCTGGGTTTTAACGAGTGCAAATACCAGCGAGTTCCTTCAATGGAAACCAAAGGCACTGGAGGCTCGCAGCCTCCTGTGGCAGCAGAGGCGAGGCTGAGACTCCTGACCAAAGCCCTGGGTGGACAGAAGGCCCCCGACGGGGCCAGCCTCTCTCCTGCCTTGCTGTGCACCCCAGAGCACCCCAGGGCCTGGCCATCATTCCTGAGCCCCAAGCCTGGTTCAGCCCATCCTGACGTCCCTCTGGCCAGGCTGGGGGAGCTGCGGTAAGAAGGGGGTCGCCTCTGTCTGCGCTGGCCCCTGGGCTGTGTTCTCTCCCCCCCCCCCCCCCCCCCCCAGACTCTGTCTCGTGTTAGCAAGGCCAGAAGCCCAGGCAGCTACACTCTTGTCCTTTGTTTTCGTTTCCCAGCAGGGGCTAGTGGGAGGGCCGGATCAAGAGATGTGCTTAGGGGCAGTGGTGTCCCTGAGACCAGAACACTGTCCCCGTTCCCAGGGCCACAGACTTCCTGAGCCCCGAGGCACTGTGTTAAGAGTGAGCCCCGAGGCACTGTGTTAAGAGTGGAGGGGGAGGCTGGTGCGACAGGGCCTGGCAGCCGTGGGTGCACACGGGAGAGAAAGCTGTCGTGTGCTGCCGTGTCTGGCCTCCGCTGCCCACCTCTGCCCAGGAGTGGATGCTGCAGACAGGGACCGGGGTGCGCAGACACCTTGAAAGCATCTTCACTCTTCTGTGCAGTGTTTTAAACGTGTTGATGATCCAAAGAATCGCGACGCAGAGCACTTCCAGCTCCTAGGCTAGGTTCAGGGCGCGCTCCTTACAGATTCTGTGCCAGACACGTGCAGGTTTCCCTGGCACTGGCCAGTGCTTTAAGATCTGGAGGACAGGAGAGGGTGGGCTTTTCAATAAAAGAAAGGTCAGTGAGACTTCCTGTCCTGAGCTGCTGTCGGAAGGCATCTGGAGAGGGGAGAGCCAACAGGAAAAGCAGTGGGTCCCCTGTTCTGGGGAACACCTGGCTCCCAAGACAGCTGTCACTTCCCTTGGCTCCTGGAGCAGGTTTGTCCTCAGGCAAAGTGCCACTATCCTGGCTTCATGTGACCACAGGCTGTTCCCACCGCCCTGACCCCACCCCAGTGTCTGGGACCCCTGACCTGCCGGTTGTGAAGGAAGGAAATGGCGTTGGCCAGGAGGGAAGGATGACCCCCATCCTGCCGGCCCAGGGTCCAAGGTGGGGTCTTTGGTGCTCCCACCCTCCTGCCAGCCCAGCGTGCCCAGCACTGGGCCCCCAGGGCCTCCACACCAAAGCAGGACCACAGCTAACAGCTCAGGACGAGGGCTCTGCTGCCATTTGGGAAGAGCCACTTTGGCATCACAAACCGACAGCCCAGCGCTCCTCCGAGGCCACTGTGACTCACTGTGTTAACCTGTGCATAACCTCAAACGCCATCGGATGCCCGCATCGTGTGCACCGACCTCGAGGTGTTGCTTCTAACTCGTTCTTGGTAATCTGAGGGTTGTTTTTAATGCATGTAAACTAAACTAAAATTCCTGGGGGTTGCCGTAGGAGCCAGGTGGGCAGACCCTCACCTGACACATGCACCCTCACCTGGAGAGGAATAAACCACTGTACTAACCTGTGCGGCCTCTGACTTCCTCCCTGTGGGATGGGGGGAGCATGGAGCGGCCCCTCCCACAGGCTCCCGCACTTGGCGGGGGCAGCTTCCAGGTGGCTTCCAGAGATTTGAAAGGGGGCTCTGAAGGTCATGGGCCCCTCAAGGTCTCTAGCTGCTCCTACAGGACCAACGACAGCCCTTGTTTTCTGCCCCAGTCTTTCTCCAAAGTTCCCCTAAAGCTCATTCTCGTCAGCCGTAAGCAGTATTTATCGATGACTCAAAGTGCCGGGGAATCTCCCGGGCATTTATGTTAGTTTTTCATTGATCTTCACAATAATTCCTTGAGGGCTTTAGTTTTGCAGATCGGTCAATAGGTGCATTGAGGATGAGGTTCTGGTTGGTGCGAGTGCAGAGCTAGGCCTTGTTGCGGCTGTGCCTAAACACTCACCTCCACAGGAGCCTCTAGGGCAGGCACCCCTGAGACCCAGCGCCCTCCAGCCTCCTTTACGGTGTCTCTGGGGTCACACCTAGCCAGCCGGGTGGCTCCCCAGCACTGGCCCTAAGACACTGTGCTTCTCTGTGGCAGCTGCACTCCCAGAACCCACAGCGTTCCCGGGAGCCCCTGTAGTGAGCAGCAGATGCGTCCCCTGCTTGGGACGAGATGCAGAAAGCCCAGTGCAGCCTACCTCGCCAGCTCAGAACTGGGCACCAGAACCACCTCACTAGAATGGCAGACTTCCCCACCCCACGCCTGGTCTCTGGGCACCGAGATCAGTGGAGACGGGAGTTGCAGACAGGCCCAGCGTGAAGCAGAGAGGAGGCATGGGAATGCTCAGGCCCAAGGGAGGCTTGACCAGTACCACTGTGTCACCTTCTGTCCCTACATGGCGTGCCAGCAGTGTCTCAGCCAGGGGACAGAGGGGTGGGGAGAGTGGTCACTGGGTCAGTCCTCCCCCACCTCACCCTTACCATCCTCTGACAACAAACTGACTGCAGGAAGGGGGACATTTAACCTGCTCCCAGAGGAAGAGCAGGAACCATCGGGCCCCTCAGGCAGAGCTCCGCCAGGCGCCGGCGCTCTGTGGGCTGTGCGGTTGCTCCAAAGCCCTTCACCCCCAGCATGTGACGTCCATCCCCAACCTGGGGGCCTTCTGTGTAGGCCTGCAGGTAGGTTATCAACACCTGCAACTCCAAACACTGCAGACCAAGAGGCGGTATTCCCAAATGTGGACACTTACCTTCCTTTCTTCCCATCATTTATTAAACTAAGATTGTATTGATCGCTTATCACAGGGCAGCCCTGAGCCGGCCCGACCTGCTGCTTGCATGGCCTGCCTACAGAGGTTTCTCCTGACTGACTGACTCAGAGATGGGGCCTTGCTACATTGCCCAGGCTTCAGACCCCTGGCTGGGCTCCAGCGATCCCCTGCCTCAGCCTCCCCAATCCTCAGCCTCCCCAGTGCTGACACTAACAGACATGTTCCCCACACCCAGTTGGCTTTTACATTTTAAATGGTTTAAAAAAGAAAAATTCAGACATATGCAACTGATTTGGGTGGCAGAGAACACTAACTTCAAACTCCAATTAAACAAAATGTTTTCTCTCCCCCGAGGAATTCCATTCTTCTCATTGTTGTGTAGACCTATATTACAGAAAAAGTGCGCTCAATCATCATAATGTTTTTAATTTCATCAGTCCCGTGTGTGGAAATCAGTTTTCTCTTTTGTCCAAAGTACTTACGTGATTTGGGAGGCTGAGGTAGGAGGATTGCAAGTTCAAGGCCAGCCTCAGCAACTTAGTGAGACCCTGTCTCAAAACAAAAAGGGGTAGGGATGGGCCTAGTAGTACAGTACCTGGGCTCAATACCCAATGCCACGGAAATAAATCAACAGTACCTACATGATTTCTTTTTTTCTCTCTTGGCCTGCAAAGCCTAAAATACCTGCCATCTTTTACAGCAGTTTCCAATTTGCTGACACCTCACTTTCTCTGAATTCTGAAAATTCAGAAGTACCTAAGGCAGTCAGGTCCTGGACTTCATGGTGATTACAAACGAGCAAGTACCACCCAACACATGTGCCTAGATGCAGATTCAGGATCGTGGGTTCGCGAGACTCCTGGAGTCCTGTGCTTCCAGCTTTGGCTTATCTGACTTTTTTTATTTCTGATTTTGCAGTGCTGGGGGTTGGATTGGACCCAGGACCTCATGCGTAGCTGCACTTCCCAGCCCACTCTCTGCTTAATCTGAGCATTATTTTTTTCTGATTATAAAAACATGTGTGCTGCAAACATTCCAAACTTCACAAAAATGTGTGCAGAAGTGAAAATCCGCCCTAATCCTCAGTCCAGAGCATGACTGCATCAACAGTTTGGTGGAAATTCTCCCAAGTTTTGTTCTAAAATATTTGTGGAGATATTAACCACACTCCATGTACGTAGAGTTCTGCAGTTGCTTTTCCTACCTAATGCTGTATCTTCTCATCGTTGAGAACTCCCCAGGGGAGCGCTGTCCTCCTGCCTGGCAGGTGATTTGTCAATTCGACAGGGCCTTTGGCAAGCACAACACAAAAGCCACCCTGAGGTTCACACACAGAGCAAGCAGCACTCAACATATGAGCACGTGAATGACAGCCGTGGCCGAGTTCATCGAGTCCCCCGCACCTGTCACCCTGCTTCACAGAGATGGGGCAAGGGTCATCCGTTACGTTCCAGCTGATGGGTGGATGTTGTGGTTGGGATATGAGGCGTCCCTGAGAGCTCACGTAGGAGACAATGAAAGCATGTTCAGAGGTGAGATGATTAGATCACGAGAGCTGCAGCCTCCTCAGTAGATTAGTTCACCTGGGCGGACTCACTGGGCGGTAGCTGTAGGCATGGAGGTGTTAATGGAGGAAGTGGGTCACCTGTCACTCCCTTCGGCCATTATATCCTACCTCACCTAAGGCCCAGAGTTAGGGAGTCGGCCTCTTGCACTGAACCTCTGCAACGCTGAGCCAGAATAAACTCTTCCTCCTCTAAGCGGTCCTTGTTGGGTACATAGGTCACAGTTATGCAAAGCTGATTAACAGCGGATAACCAGGGCTGGGGTCATGGCTTAGCGGTAGAGCACTCACCTAGCACATTCGAGGCCCTGGGTTCGATCCTCAGCACCACATAAAGATAAATAAGTAAAATGAAGGTATCGTGTCCAACTAAAAAATAAATACTAAACCGTAGGCTGGGTACTGGGAGAGGGGCATGTGGGGGGGGGGTGAGGATCTCAGTCCTGACAGGTGGGGTCGAGGGGCTGTTGAAGCATCTGAACAGGCCACCTTGGGCAGCCAAGGCCAAGTCTGGAGCAGAACTGATAAAGAGGCCCGGAGACCTGGACAGGGGAGACAGCACATGCATGTGGTCACTGACGTCGTGGGGAAGGGTGGGGCTGAGCAGGAGGACTGGGGGGTCTAATAGACCCCAGCGCTGAAGGAGCAGGTGGAGACAGGGCCACGAAAGAAAGTGCAGAGGTAAACCAGCTCCTCACCTCCCTTTGAAGTGCGCGGCTGACATCCCAGTACTCCCTATTCCTCCCAACTCCAAGTGCTCTGGGGTGACCTAAACCCCACACTCTGACTCCTCCAGTCTCCCAGGTCTCAGGTGGAGCAAGAGGAAAGCAATATGATTAAACCTTCTCTGTCATCCACTCGGGAGGCTGAGGCAGGAGGATCTCAAGTTCAAGGCCAGTCCCAGTAACTTAGCAAGACCCTGTCTCAAAAAATAAAAGGGCTGTGGATGTAACTTAGTGGTAGAGCACCCCTGGATTTAATCCCAGAAAAAAAGATGGACCCCATACGATCCACAGGGTACAACAGATATAATGACATGGTTACTTTACCTCTGTGGTCTTCCTTCCCAAAACCTATAACTGCAGTCTAATCATGGAAAAAAAATATTAAGCATATACCAATGGAGGGACATTCTACAAATATCTGACTAGTTCTCCTCAAAATGGTCAAGGTTATTAAAAACCAGGAAAGTCTGAGAAACCTTGTCAGTCAGGAGGAATCTAAAAAGACATGATAATGAAACGTAATATGAGATCCTAGAACAGAAAAAAGACGCTGGGGGTGTGTTAGTCAGCTTCTCATTGCTATGACAAAATGCTTGAGAAAATAAACTAGGAGGAGGACAGGTTTACTTTGGCTCACAGTGTCAGAAGTTTCAGTCCACGGTCACTTGACTCTGCTGATTCTAGGCCTGTGGTTTGAGGCAGAACATCACAGTGGGGGGCTGGGGATGTGGCTCAAGCGGTAGCGTGCTCGCCTGGCATGCGTGTGGCCCGGGTTCGATCCTCAGCACCACGTACAAACAAAGATGTTGTGTCCGCCAAAAACTAAAAAATAAATATTAAAATATTTAAAAAAAAAAGAACATCACAGTGGGGAGGGGGTTCTAGAACAAAGCTACTCACCTCCTAGTGCCCAAGAGCAGAAAGAGCAAGGGTCTGCAGGATGGGGCAGCAGGAAATACCCTTCCAGGGCCTGCCCCCAGAGACCCACTTCTCCAACGAGGCTCTCCCACCTTTCTTTTTTTTTTTTTTTAGTATTTATTTTTTAGGTGTAGATGGACACAACACAATGCCTTTATTTTTATATGGTGCTAAGGATTGAACCTGGGTCCCGCCGGTGCTAGGCGAGCGCTCACCGCTGAGCCACAATCCCAGCCCCTCTCCCACCTTTCAACAATGCCATCTGCTATGAACCCATCAAGAGATTAACCCACTGATGGGGTCAAAGCCTTTGTGCTCACTTCCCAAGACCCCCACCCCAACACCGCCACATCGGAGACCAGGCCTTCTTCGACACCCGAGTCTTTAGGGACATCTCAGAGTCAAACCGTAACAGTGAGAAACTAATGATATTTTTCAAAAGTATGGACTTTATTTAGTTAATGATAGCATTATTCACTCACACACATTTTAAAGAATTTTCCAAAGCTAATGTAAGATGGTGATGATAGAGGACCAG